GTCGCGGTGTCCAGTGTGAACAGTCCGGACACCGGGTCCCGGGGGAACGTGGTGAGGGGAGCACCAGTGGCGGCCTCGGTACAGACAGCGTACCGCTCATGAACAGGGAACGTAGAGGTGACGCCAAGGTCTTGGAGGCAGCCAACACCAACTAGGTTCCTGGAGAACGAGGGGATGTGCAGGCCCGTAAGAGAGCCCGAAGGAACCGCCGGATAGGGAAGCGTGGTCGAACTGCGGGCTACTACCGAGCCGGAGGAGGGGTCGGCAAGAGAAACTGCAGCAGGAGCAGGAAGCGGCATCAGCGTAGTGGAGTCGCGAAAGAAACACCGAGAAGCGCCAGAGTCCAAGGTGAAGGAGAGCGTAGCAGCGGCGGCTGGAGTCGGAGCAGTAGCAGAAGATCCAAGGCTAAACAAAGCAGGGGATCCTACGCCTGACGCAGCAGGGGAGGTACAACTAGACACGGCTATACTAGGCAACAAGGGGTAGTAAGAAGCAGTCACACTAGAGTTATCAGCATACATCACATGCAAGGCAGCAACAATCTCATCCATGTCCATATCAAAGATCTGAACACAACGACGAAGCAAGCTGTGCCAGTCGGGAGGTCGGGCGCCGGGCCAAAGCGCTGACGAAATAGGTCGTCCAGGCGACGGAAACAGCGGACGGAGGTGTGACCGATCTTACCGCAAAGGAAGCCACGGCAAGGACCGGTCTGGAGCTGGTACTGACAGGGTCCGTCACCCGAAACGTCACCCGAAACGCCACCCGACAGCCCACCATGCGCACGACCAACACGGCCAGTGCCACCACCAGCGCCAGCCCACCCAAGCGGGAGACCACCCCCCCGCCTCTGCTGCTGCGGCTGCTGCGGCTGGTGCGAGGGCTGGGCGATAGAGCGCTGGCGCGTCTCTATGGCAGACAGGGTGTCGACAAATTCAGTGAGGGTGAGGTTACCAGGGTGGATGCTAAGGAAGCGGTCGTGGGCAGTAGCAAGACGGTCAGGGAGGCGGGTGGCCAGCAGGTAGAGGGCAGAGCAGAGGGGCGGCTGAAAGGCTCTAAGCTGGGTCTCAATGCAGGCAGCGCGCCAGGTCGTGTCTATCGTGCGCAGGTGAGCAACGAGGTCAGCGACAGTAGGGAAAGACGCAAGGTCAGGGAATAGCATCGGTAGGATCAGGCGACCTACAGAGGCAGCAGGCGGGGTGGAATAATGCTTGACCACGGCATCAAGGAATTCCTGTACAGTCGTGACTGACCTAAAGCGGGGGCGCTCAGACAGGGGGAGGGCATGATTTATCGCAAGCTGCTCGACTGCGTCACACGACCGCCAGACACAGCGGGCAAGGGCAGCAGCTGCGGCGGACTCACGGTCAGCGGACGAGGGTTCATCAGGCAGGGGAGCAGGGGGGTCAGGGCAGGGGAGCGTACCGTCAAGGTGGACCGCCAGGGAGTGGCCTTCCTGCCGCTGGCCTGTTGTGAGAGTACGACCCCGTTACACTACACGACTTCTCCTTATTTCCTTTCTCTTTCATTTCTCCTTTTATCCCATCTCATTTGGTTTCCTATTCTCCATTCTCCATTATCCTTTGGTTTATCCTGATAGTCTAATTATATCACCGACCAGGCTTGGGATGTACCCGGGCGCTATATCTAGCGTAATCTTGCCGTAATCATTAAAAGCCAATAGCCTCTCGTGGCTATACGCAGGGTGATTCTATCTTCTAGAAGGGTCTATTCCCTTGGAAAAAAGATAAACCTGGTTACCTGATGTACTATGGAAATATAAAAGCGCCTTGTACTGATCGATAGTGCAACCTTTCCTCGAGTCATTCGATCCTGTGACACTTGGTATCAGAGTTTTTCTCACTCAGCCGCGCTCAACTAAGCAGGAGCAGCGGGAAAACCTGCCTCGAAAAACCGCCGGGGGCGACCAATTTGACGCCGATTCTGGTAAGCACCAGCTACGCGTTTTTTCGAATTCCCCCCCCGCACGTGTTTTGAACAGTATGGCAACCTTCGACAACGCCGAGGTTACCCAGCAGCTCTTCGCGCGCATCGCAGCCCTGCAGGAGGAGATGCGAGCGGATCGCGAAGCGTGGCAAAACGAGTTCGAGCAAGTAACTCGACTCGCCGGAGCGCAGCACGACTCGACAACGGCGACGACGCAGCAGTCGCAGCAGTTTCTCGAGGCTCCGAAACCGCGCCCACCTGAGCCGTTCGATCCGAGCGATCGAAACTCCGACGCCCGCAGATGGATCGCCGGGATGGAGATCTACTTCGCAGCCGTCGGATGGAGCTCGCCAGTCTGGGACGGTCAACGTCTACGACTCGCGGCGACGCTGATGCGAGGGCCGGCACTCGAGTGGATTGGCGGCAACATCACCTTCATCCACGGTGAAGCCACGTGGCAGCAGTTCCGCACCGTTCTACTGAAACGCTTCGAGCCGATAAATTCGGGTTTCCTTGCCCGCGAAAAAATTCATCGACACCGGCAGTTCGGGAGTGTAGCGCAGTACACGCAGCAGATGGAGGAATTTTATAACCGAATTCCCGACCTGACCGAAGGGGGAAAAAGTACAATCGTACCTCGCCGGGCTGAAGACCGAAGTCAAACGACAAGTGGCAGCGTCAAACTACGCGAGCTACAGTGACGTCGTTTCGGCAGCGGAGCGCTTCGACATGGTCAACGCCGGGACACGACGGACGCACATCGGCAGTACGCGACAGGGCGACTGCTCGGCTCACCCCACGTTCGCCGACCCGATGGAAGTCGACAGATTCGAGGGACGGTCACGTCCGAAAAACACCAACTACACGTGTGATTTTTGGGGGGTGCCGGGTCATCAAATCTTCGACTGCAACAAAATGAAAATCGCATGCGCAGAGTATCGGGCACGCAACAGTGGCGAAATCCCTTCGGCCAATCAGAAGACAAAAAACGGGAGTCGCCAGTGATTGCGGATCTAGCTGGCAAAAATAAAAAGATCTGAAAGCGGCCGCGGGATTCCGGGAAAATCAACTTCGACGAAGCTGATTCGACGCGAGAAGGAGGAAATGATGGGGGAAAATCTCCACCCCATGACCACTCTTCGCCAGGGAAAATCGCCGAGGAGAAATACGACTCCGCGAAAAAAAACTCTGCCGAGACGAGGAAACTCCTTGAAGACCCATAAGACTCCTTGACGAGTTATCTTATAAAGATGCTTTAATGAAAACTTATGATTTTCGAAGGGCTAGAGCCTTGGAGAAATTTCGGGAGGGACTCCAAAAGAAGTAGACAGCTGTGGAGATTATACCGGTACCAGACAACTTGGGGAAAACATTAAGGAGTGTGGAAAGAAGCCGACCTTTCCACGGAGTCAACGTCCTCTCTCGACACCAGCCCACAACGACTACCCGTTCCCCAGGGAAGACGTCGATGGAGCTGAAGCAGCTGAAGAGGAAGCTGGGGGTCTACAAGAAGCTGCACAAACCCCGAACTCCTCCTCCGGATGCATCCAGTTCAGCACCTTCGGCATCAACGACGCGCACAGTCGTCAAGGAAACTCCGGGCCCTGGAGAAGAGCCGTTCTCCAAGCAGCCTCGGCCAGCTGCCAGCTCAGGAGTAGATAGCAACACAAAGGTGTGTACAGAATATTGGGATGTACCCTATGACTCAATCAATGAGACTATCTTTGGGTACTCCGAGCAACGCCTGCCCCTCGTGCTCGAGGTCATCTGCAAAGGACGATGCCTCCAAGCACTCGTGGACAGCGGAGCATCACACACCGTCTACAACAAGGCAGTAATCGACCGACTTCGGGAAGAGTACAAGCCTTCAGGATTCTCTGCAACGATGGTGGACGGAAGCAAGTTACCAGTACACGGCGAAGCAATGCTACACCTACAAATTGGACCACTGCGCTGGAGACCTGCACTCCCCATCACCAACATAAAGGGCTTGACTTGATCTTCGGGCGAGACTTCCTAAAAAGATTCAACCCCGAGATCAACTAGGTAAACCGCACCGCAAGCATCTACAACAATGGAAGGAGAGTACAGCTACCCAACTGGGACGATACAAGAGATATCCCAGTGGAGACACTCGCACGATTCGAGAAGGATGTGAAGCGAACCGACACCGGGTTCCTGGCGATAGCAACAGAGGTGGAAAACGATGGGGAAAAGACCTCGGAACCTCCGGGAAAGATCAAGGAATTATTGAAGGAGTTCCAAGACATTCTTCCTGATGATCTTCCGAACGAGCTACCGCCATACCGAACGCATCAACACGAGATCGTGGAGGAACCGGGTTCGAAGCCGACCTTCCGAGCACCATACCGGCTCAGCCCTACGGAGCTGACCGACTTAAAAAAACAGATCGAGTATCTCCTAGCCAAAGGACTCATCCGACCATCCACTTCGCCATACGGTGCCCCAGTACTCTTCACACCGAAACCGGACGGAAGCCTGCGCATGTGCATCGATTACGAGGCTCTTAACAAGCAGACCATCAAGAATAAATATTAGATACCGCGAATCAATGACCTGCTTGACCAGCTTCGAGGAGCTACGGTATTTTCCAAACTGGATTTGCCGTCCGGATACTGGCAGATACGGATGGCGGACAACTCTATCCACAAAACTGCTTTTCGAACTCGGTATGGATCGTACGAGTATTTGGTAATGCCGTTCAGACTCACCAACGCACCGGCAACGTTCCAAGCCAAAATGAACCACATTCTACGACCACTTTTGGACGAGTGCGTGGTGGTGTACCTGGACGACATCCTCATCTACTCGCGCGACATGAAGCAGCATGTCGAACACCTGCGACGCGTCTTCGAAATACTTCGACGAGAACGATTCTACGTCAAATTGTCCAAGAGCGAATTCGCCCTTGAGAAGGTCCAGTTCCTAGGACACATGGCGAGCGCTCAAGGAGTTCACGTCGACCCCAAGAAAATCAAAGCCGTACGTACGTGGAAGATACCCGAGAACGTGAAGGAGTTGTAGCAGTTCCCAGGCTTGGCTAATTACTACAACAGGTTCGTGCCACAGTATGTGAAACTCGCAGCACCACTCACGAATCTGCTGAAGAAGAACACGCCCTACAAATGGGAGCCGAAGCACCAGGAAGCCCTGGAGCAGCTGAAACAAGCACTCACGTCCACACCACTACTCATCTTGCCAGATCCCGAACGCGACTACGTCATCAAAGCTGACGCCAGCGACCAGGCAGTGGGAGCAGTCTTAATGCAGGATCAGGGGAATGGACTGCAACCAATTGCCTACCTAAGTAAGAAACTACACGGGGCAGAACTCAACTACCCGATACACGACAAGGAGGCCCTGGCTATCATCATCGCCTTCAAAGTGTGGAGATGTTATCTTGAAGGACGAAGAACAACCGTCTACACCGACCACTGCAGCCTGAAATACTTGAAGACACAACCCAACCTTTCCAGGCGGCAGGTCCGGTGGATCGACTTCCTCGAGACACACTTCCACTACGATATCGTGTACAAGCCCGGCCACAAAAACAAAGCAGACTCTCTCAGCCGGCCGCACACGTTGCCACTATTCAGATCGAAGGGATGAATCCACTACTCAAGGGACTCTTCACACACGGGGATGCCAACGACATCTGCTACAGTGGGACAGTGACATCGCGTACCGAAAAGGATCAACGAAAATCTGGGTACCCAATTACCCTCCTTTGCGCCAGTTACTACTCAAAGAATACCACGACGTCCTATACGCCGGACACTTTGGTAGCAACAAGACGCTGACCGGTATTGCAAAACACTACTACTGGCCCCACTTAGCAGAAGATGTCCATACATTTGTCACCTCGTGTGATACATGTTAGCGGATGAAGAGCAGCAAGCAGAAGAAGGCGGGACTATTGCAGCCTCTTCCTGTCCCAGAACAACCATGGCAAGTGGTTAACGTGGATTTCATCACCGGGTTACCACCTACTACCAGCGGTCATGACGCAATCCTTGTCCTCATCGACAAGTTCTCCAAAATGGGACACTTCATCCCGACACACACGACAGCACGCATCGAAGAAACAGCACAACTCTTCGTTCGATACATCATCTCACATCATGTTATTCCAACCACACTCATCTCCGACCGAGACCCCAAGTTCACCAGCAAGTTCTGGAAGGAACTTATGTCTCTCCTCGGGACCAAACTCGTCATGTCATCTGCTTACCATCCGCAGACTGACGCACATACCGAGCGCCTCAACCAAATTGTTGAGCAACTCCTCAGAGCAGCCTGCAAAGACGAGATCTCCAAATGGGACCTGCACCTGCCCGTTCTAGAGTTTGCTTACAACAACGCTACACATGCCGCTACTTGACAGACGCCGTTCCTCCTCTATTACGGACGCCACCCACTCACACCACAAAAACCGACACCATCCGCAACAGTCCAACCTGCACATGATTTCATCACAACCATGCATCAGCTTTGGGATCGGACCCACAAGCGCCTCCTCGACATTCAGCAGCACCAAAAGCGCCAGGCCGATCGCCATCGCAACGACCACACCATTACTGTGGGAGACTAGGTGCTCCTTGACACCCGCAACCTTGACATCAGCCATCTCCCATCTAAACTTCGACCTCGCTTCTGCGGGCCTTTTCTCGTTGAAGCACATGTCTTTCCTGTTACCTTCCGCTTACGCCTGCCAGCTACCTGGAAGATTCACAACGCCTTCCATGACCAACTTCTGAAGCCCTAACGGGATCCAAACACGATCTTCGTCGGACGCCAACCGCCGCCGCCGCCGCCCGTCCTCGTCTAGAATGAACCCGAGTACGAGGTCGAGTCCGTGCTGGCACACCGCCGTCGTCGGAATGGCACCGTGGAGCTTCTCATCCGTTGGAAGGGTTATGATCCTTATGAGGACAGCTGGGTACCTGAGACCGACATGGGTAACGCCCGTTGTCCTCTGCATGACTACCTTGTCAAGCAGGGTGTTACTTCTACCACCTAGCTTTGAGGGGGGGAAGTGTGAGAGTACGACCCCGTTACACTACTTGACTTCTCCTTATTTCCTTCCTTTCATTTCTCTTTTTATCCCATCTCATTTGGTTTCCTATTCTCCATTCTCCATTATCCTTTGATTTATCCTGATATTCTAATTATATCACCGACCAGGCTTGGGATGTACAGGGGCGCTATATCTAGCATAATCCTGCCGTAATCCCTTAAAGCCAATAGCCTCTCGTGGCTATACGCAGGGTGATTCTATCTTCTAGAAGGGTCTATTCCCTTGGGATAAGATAAACCTGGTTACCTGATGTACTCTGGAAGTATAAAAGCGCCTTGTACTGATCGATAGTGCAATCTTTCCTCGAGTCATTCGATCCTGTGACACCTGTGAGGTGATGGCGGAGGTCGACCAGCCACGTGTCAAACTCGAGCGGCTGACCCTCTGCGTCGAAGCGGAGCACGGAGTCTGCCATTAGGAGCGATGCAGCAGCGGTGCAGTGCTGTGCAGGTGCAGTGCAGTAGTGAGCGGTGCAAAGCGGTGCAGTGCGGTGCTGTGCAGTGCAGAGCGGTACCGTGCAGTGCAGTGCGGTGCTGTGCAATGCAGAGCAGTGCAATGCGGTGCTGTGCGGTGCAGAGCGGTACAGTGCGGCACAGGGTGGTGCTGTACGGTGCTGAAGGCCGGAGGCGGGCCGACTGACGAGGAACGGGCGCAAGGCCGATGAGGAGCGAGCGCAAGGGGGCCGGCGGGAACGGGCGCTAGGGGGCGAGGGGCCGGCTAGGACAGCGCTGGGGGCCAGCGAAAACGGGCGCTGGGGCCAGCTGGAACGAGCACTGGGGGCCGGCTGGGGCGGATGCGCGGGCCGGCTAGGAACGGGCGCTAGGAGGACGGCAGGACGGGCACAAGGGCCGAGGAGGACGGGCGCGAGGGGCCGGCAGGACGGGCGCGAAGGGGCCGGCTAGGACGGGCGCGAGGGGCCAGCTAGGACGGGCGCATGGGTCGGCTAGTGCGGGCGCGAGGGCCAGCTAGGACGGGCGCGAGGGGGCCGGCTAGGGCGGGCGTAGGTGCCGGCTAGGTAAGGCGCGGGGGGGGGGCGGCAGGACAGGCGCGAGGGCCGGCTAGGACGGGCGCGGGGGCCGGCTAGGTGAGGCGCGAGGGGCCGGCAGGACGGGCACGAGGGCCGGCTAGGACGGGCTCGAGGGGCCGGCTAGGACGGGCGCGTGGGCCGGCAGGAGCGGGCGAGGGGGGGGCGGCTAGGACAGGCGCGAGGGGCCGGCTAGGGCGAGCACGGGGGGGGGGGGCGGGGGGGCTGGCTAGGGCGGGCTTGAGGGGCCGGCAGGATGGGCACGAGGGCCGGCTAGGACGGGCGCGAGGGCCGGCTAGGTCGGGCGCGAGGGGGGCCGGCTAGCTAGGACGGGCGCTAGGGGCCGGCTAGGACAGGCGCTAGGGGCCGGGGGGAACGGGCGCGCCTAGGGGAATGGGCGGCTAGGACCGAATGCGGAAGCGTGGGCGGGCCGCGAGACCTACCCACTCCTGATACCATCTTACAACTGAATGAATGACTAGAAAGAGAGAGTACAGGGATATATAGCATAGAGTGTTGTACCCTCTATGGCACAAACCAATATTGTCTATACTAACATACTTAGATATGTTTGACTCTGGAACCCTATCGCTGGTTCGGGATTGTTCGAGTCGTACGCCCTGTAGCAAGCCTCAATAAGGAATTACGAATTCCTTACACTCTCCCCCCTTCTAGATAAGCACACAAATAAACAAAACTACACACACTCTAACTGAATCTCATAGTAGTGAAGCCACCACTGTTGAGAATCTCGAGCTTCTTCAAGAAACTCTAACGATCGAAACACGTCGAAACGATCGCCGTCGATCGTAGCCGTCAAACCTTGGTCGAATTACCCAGATAACCAAACGGGCAGTAGGGATACTACCGCGCCACAGCTTTCTTGTCTCCAGCAAGTCCTTCGCCGAGAATTACAAACCCCGTAGTCGTGTACTGAATTCGCACAATAACACTACGGCTGAGTTCTGCAGGCATTTGACGTTGACGTCGACGTCGACATTGAGGAAGCTCCTCAAGCGACTTCGAGAGCACTAGTTACCACCCAAACCAGGTGCACTCTCCCAACCTCGCTTGGAAGCCACGCGGCCAAATTGTGGAAAGCGCAAGCGAAAGGAGAGAGGAGCGAATTTCAAAATTGCGCAACAAAGCCTGCTGCCCCCGGGCAGTTGAGAAATATTCCGGGGCAAAAAGACGAAAAAATAACCTAGGGTTTGTTGAGATGCCCTCGATACAACTCTCTTTGGCGATGGGTTTGTTCAGTTGCTGTTTTTTTTGCAGGGTAGGCCCAAGTTCGCGAGGTGGGGTAAAGTGGTGGTGGTTGTATTTTTGGGGTGTGGAGGCCTAGTACACCGTTGCGGTTGATGTAACGCCACACGCAAGGTGAACTCCGCGATTGAGCGAATGTCAGCATTGCGTCAAGTTTGCGCCAGATTTGCCAGGAAGGGAAGCAAGGAGGGTGTTCCCTGACGTAAATGTCATCTGTAGATGGACCTGTTCTGCAGGCATGTCGATGTAACTAGGTTCGGGTACCTTGTGCCAGGTTTGGGCGAAAATTTGCGGGCTGACCCTCGATCCGAAGCAAAATCTCTCACTTTCGGAAGGTGCTCTGATGTAATCTGCACTTTCCTTTTTTGCCTGCAGAACGCAACCAACGTTATTCACACTGCTGCAAGTTGGCGAGCCGAAACTTCTGCGTAGCGCCAAAACTTGTCTGTAGCTCCGTAACTGTAGATCACTCCTCGTTTAACTCCTCGTGAGTCGTGACACTCGCAGAAACAGGCGTCCGTATTTCGCAAAGTCAACGAACTCCAGCAATCCGTCAAATGCGAGGTCATTCGTGACACATGTGAGAACACACGTCCGCGTCTCACGAAAGTCAACGAAGTCCATCAGCACAAGAACGAAAGCTCAATCAGTCCAGTAACTGTACTAGATGTCGCCTCAGGCGGTTTTATGTAAACACGCCATCAACGTTCGCGAAAACCAGTGAAATTCTAGAAAAGCCAACTCGAATCTGTCCGTCGATTCAGTCGGTCAAACATCATCGGTCCGTCGATGCTCATGCAGCGGATGCCAATTGTCAAGGGAAAATGCAAAAAACAACTGCTGTGCAGATGCTCTCTCCCCCCCCCCTCCATGAAAAGAAAATCTTCTCTCGTCGATGCTGAAAATACCCTGCTTCAAGTTTCTTTAGACCCGGAACTTAAAGTATCTTCAAACTATGTTCGTCAGGACCAGTCTCAGCGCGACCCTATAACGGAGGGCAGCTGCGCCACGTAGACTCTTGCTCTGTTCGACGCCGTAGATAATATTTCTGCTCCACAGAATGTTGTCGATCTGCTTCGTGTTATAAATTCCGAAACTCCCCCTGACCGGTTCGCCGTGCAAACGTTCACCCATCGCGCGGCTACGGCAGGTCCCCCAGAAAAACGCAGGTACAGTTCTCAGCTCCGAAAAATGCATTTTCTGCAGTTTCACCGACTAACCATGCTGGTATTTAAACCATCGCACAGCTCGGTAGGTACCTGTGACCCCAGCTACCGCTCCAGCCAAAAACTTGAAGAATTCCCACCCGAAAAATACCCGACGTTTAGCGACGCGCCGATGTTCACCCATCTTTGCGCCCGTCCAGGTAAATCCCCCAATGAGTCCTCGCAGCCGAACCTTCGATTATAGCCCCCCATCTCAGGAATAATCCGTGAAGTCTCCCGCGTGACTCCAAATTTTCCGTGATGGCAACACGCTTTTCCCACTGCAACAGTAACCCTTGTCGTCCCGAAACTCCATTCGATGCACACACTCCAGAGCAGGGGTGAATCCGCCGTGTGCCCGTACTCAGGTAAGCGCAAACGCTATCGTAGTTGAGCGAAAGAATCAGTCTAATTCGCGGGCAACCGCTTTGCAGCTTACGTGAGGGATTCTCCTTCCCCTCCCTAAAAAAACTGTCGCTCAAGAAATCTGCTCCCCACTGCTGCAAATTTCTTCAACTGCTGCTTCCAAAGTAAAACCCCCGCAGGCCGCTGTTAACCCAGCGCCCACATTCATCATTCTCCCAACAGTACCACACACGTTCTTTTGAAAAGCTCGCAGCTCCGTCGATTGCAGCGACATATCCTCGCCGTTCGTATCGGACTCGAGCTCCGCGTACCGTCCGATCGTCGTCGCAACTTTCATTCGCAATTTTCGTTAACCTGCTTCACGCGCCTCCCTTTGTAGAGCCTCCGATTTTCACCAATCGTTCGACAGTCGTGTAGCGCCGAAAACATTTCGATCCACCAGCGCAGGGTGATCCGCAAGCTCATCCTCCTTTATTCGTCCGGGCGCGGTCGATAGCATGTATCGTACTACCACCCGGTGGGATGCTGAAAATCGGGCGACCCAGCCAAGTCAGTCGGGGGATCCGTCTGCCGGTGACTCCGTAAAATCTTCCTGTCTGTTCCCAGTCGTTCTCCTTCTCTGCTTCAGCTCTTCGTCGTTGAATTTTAGCGGTGACCCGGTGATGACACTTCAACTCGACCCGAGGGTAGTTGCTGGTCGTCCTCCGTAGATCGTGGGGTGTAATTTCTGACCACGAAAATGGCTTCCTCTGCGGGAATCCAGACTCGCCGAGCTCAAAACTCCAGGGCAGACGAATTACACCTCCAGGCGGGCAGGTCACGCGAAACAATTTCGAGGTCAGTACTCCTCGAAAATCTTCCGTGCCTGAGCCCCATGTGTGCTGCCGTGCGATCCTTGGTCGTGCCGAAAACTCCAACGCCACGTTGCTGAACAGTATCCGAAGTCCCGTCTTCACCTGTGTGTCGCCTGCCGGAAACGCCGAGCCATTTGACATCAACTACACTTCACCATGCAGCCACGTCTGCTACACGCACTCCTAACGAAATCCTCTTCGCCTGGGGATTTCCGCGAGCTTGTCGTCCCGTGACAAAACTGTGAACGAACGAATGACAATAACATGAAAGACAATACATTAAATAGAAAGCATAGGGTGATCCTGGACGTAGGATCGGAAGGTTCGGGAAAGGTATCGAATGGCCTCGATGAGTCGAAGCGAGGTACGGAAAGGCCCAGGAGGCTCAAACTGAAAGGTCTGGAACCCTATCGCTGGTTCGGGACTGTTCGAGTCGTACGCCCTGTAGCAAGCCTCAGTAAGGAATTACGATTCCTTACAATTGTGGTTCTTGTGCTACGTGTTGGTTCTGTCAAACATATATTGTTATGTTTGTATAGAATGTATAGGTTTTGTGTCTTAGAGGGTACAGCTTCTAGGTTATATTACCTTGTACTCTCCCATTCTAGTTCATTCTCTCGTTCTAACATGGTATCATGAGTAGGTTAGGTCCATCTAGCCCGCCCGCGCTTCCGCCCTAGGCCCTAGCTGCCCTCGTGCCCGTTCCTAGCCCGCCCCTTGCGCCCCGTAGCCGTCGCACCCGTCCTAGCCGGCCCCTCGCGCCGTCGCGCCCGTTCCTAGCCGGCCCCCGGAGCCGTCGCGCCCGTCCTAGCCGGCCCCTTCGCGCCGTCGCGCCCGTTCCTAGCCGGCCCCCTGAGCCGTCGTGCCCGTCCTAGCCGCCCCCCCCCCCGCGCCGTCGCGCCCGTTTCTAGCCGGCCCCCTGAGCCATCGCGCTCACCCTAGCCGGCCCCCTGAGCTGTCACGCTCGCCCTAGCCAACCCCCTAAGCCATCGCGCCCGTCCTAGCCGGCCCCCGTAGCCGTCACGCCCGTTCCTAGCCGGCCCCCTGAGCCGTCGTGCCCGTCCTAGCCGGCCCCTCGCACCATCGCGCACGTTCCTGATAAATGTGTATTATTCTGTGGTGTAGTTTGCTCTAGCTGGTTGTGGGCTATTGGGTTTTGGGCAGAAGGACTTGGGCTGGTTGGCAAGGTTTGAACTCGTTACCTTACCAACACATACAACCTCAAACCCACTACAACATCTTTGATGTTGCAGTCACGGCACTTGAGAGTGTTGGGGTTTGGTCTAGGGCAAGGGTTGGTGGTGCTTGACAATCACATACTGCAACTTTTCCAGATCGAACTGCTTCCCTTCTCGTTTTTACTAGGTGATTCATGGCTGCCTAGCAAAATTACCAGAATATCCCCTCACACTGATTTCGTCATAATCGGCGGCTCAGATCTTGGTTATGAACGTGCTTTACCATTCTGGAAAGTAGAGATTAAGACCTTTCCAACGCGTATAAGCTCATTTCTAGAAGTTACCTGAGCTGCACGCAATGTTCTGTTGAGATCGTCAAACTTAATCTCTAATTAGTTCTCTCCAGATTTGCACGATTTCCATCAGTGGTATCAGAGCCACGGTTAGAGGACGTTCTTTCCTCCATTGGAAGAGATCTAGAGAGGTTTGAAGTGCTCCAGATCTAGTGTTTGACATGGCCCAAAAGTTGGATGGCCCTCCTAGGTTTACCGGCTCGGACTTTTCGCTATGGAGGTTCCAGTTCACACTATGGCTAGGTATTAAGGACCTAGAAAGTGTGTTGGATGGATCGGAGAAGCGACCACGAGCTGACTCTGGGGAGGCGTCTACTGGAGCAACCAGCCAAGTGGGATCCGGGGTAGGGGGAGCGTCGTTGAGTGGGGGGAATGAAGGAGGAACCGCTGCAACTCGAACCGGAAGGTCGCAACCAAGTCGCGAGGAGTTGCTCAAAGCTCAAGAAGCATGGGATCGGAAGGATCGCCAGGCATTTCAGTACCTGTGTTGGGCTTTGGAGGGGCAACTTGAGCTTCTTAAGATGCTGATTGACCTGAAGGGGAAGGAAGGTGCAGCAGCTGCAGCTTAGAAAAGAGTGCAAGATAGGCACTTGCAGAAAGGGCTTCTAAGCGTGCTTACTTGGCGGAAGCGGTTTTACACCATGGAGCGGAACTATGGGGAGGGGGAGACCATGGTTCAGTATCTCCAGAGGGTGGATGAGAATGTGAGGGCTTTGGAGGAGCTAGATTACACGGTAGATGAGAAGGAGATCATCTATACTGCACTCCAAGGGTTGGATCAAGCGGCTAATGAGGCATTACTACAGTACCTTCACCTCGAGCAACAGAAATGGACCAAGGTGTGGATTTGGGAGGTTTTAATTTCTGATGAGGCTCGCAAGGTTGATGCTGGAAGAGGCCTAGAAGGAGGCATGGGGGCAGCAGATAAAGCTTCCTTCAGGAAAGGCTATCAACAACAAGGAGGTGGGGGGAAGAAGAAAGAGTTGGACAAATGCCTTGTGCCCGGATGCAACAAAAAACACTCTTGGAAGAGTTGCTGGAGTAGGTCTGAGGGATGGAAGCCTCACGGCTACTCTGGAGAGGCCCCACCAGTGACCAAACCTGATTGGGTGGAGAAAAGGATGAAGAAGGGGCTCTGGAATAAGAAGGGCAGCAAGGGAGCAACGGCCGCAGCTGCTAAGGATGAGAAGGGGTAGGGCCAAGACGACTCCTCCGATGATGGTTTCTCGTTTCTCATGCTAGGGCAGGATGCATCTCTCGCTGGTCGTGCATTGGCTGATCCCAACTTCCTGGTTCTAGACTATGGAGCAACATCTGGGATGCTTCCTCGCCGTGAACTTTTCACCTCCTACCATCCTCTCCCACCAAACTCTAGTAGAGTGATTGTTGGGAGCGGAGATTTGCTGCAGGCAATTGGCATCGGCACGATCACCATTAAGGGGAAGGAGGGGGAGCTAGTGGGTGTGAAGGGGGTCCTTCACGTCCCTGGTTTGGCTGCAAACCTCCTTTCATGCTCGCAGCTGGCTAAACAGGGATACATCTGCACTTTCACTGAGGGAGGGTGCACTGTTAGAAAGGGTGAAGCTGTGGTGATGGAGGCAAAGCTGGACAAGGGTTTATACGTTGTTCCAGCTTGTGTGCCTAATTGTTACAAGGCACATATGGTTTTTTCTGAGGTAGCCGCTTATAGCACTCGCTGGAGGCAGGTGGAAACGGTGTCACCTGAGTTGCTACACCTTCGCATGGGGCACGCGGGGAAGCAGCAACTACTGGAGTGTGTGAAGAAGGGGGAGCTGAAGGGGGTGGAGGTCAAGGAAGGAGCTGGGCAGCAGAGAAAATGTCCTAACTGCACATCTGGAAAGCTGCCTAGAACCTCATTCCCTATCTCCTCTGATCATGCCTCGACTCCCCTTGAGCTTGTACACACGGATGTGTGTGGACCGATGCAAACTCCTGACCGAGAAAGGGGCAGCAGGTACTTTGTCACCTTTCTTGATGACTTCAGTCGACTTAGCTGGGTCACCTTGGTGAAGACCAAGGATGAGGTGGCAAAGGTGTTTAAGCGGTGGATACGCTATGTGGAGAGGGAATCAGGGGCCAAGGTAAAGGTGTTAAGGTCAGATCGGGGTGGAGAGTACCTTGGGAAAGAACTTCAAATCTTCTTGGAAGAAAAGGGTATTTCCCACCAGCTCTCTGTACCCTACACGCCGCAGCAAAATGGGGCAGCGGAGCGGCTTAACAGGACTTTGACCGATTTGGCTCGGGCCATTCTTGCCCATGCCGAGCTTGATAACACTTGGTGGGGGGCAGCAGTGCAGTATGCCAACTGGGTGAAGAACAGGATGGGCAGCAAGGGGCTTGGAGGCAAGAGCCCATACTCCTTATGGACAGGGAAGGTGCCAAATGTTTCCATGGCACGAGTGTGGGGGTGCATGGCACAGTATAAGGTACCTGACCAGCAAAGGAGGAAGCTAGATCCTAAGGCACAGTGGGGAATCTTCCTTGGGGTTTCTGAGAGGAGCAAGGCTTGGGTGCTATGGAGTGTAGCTGACCAGCGTATGATGGAGAGCCGTGATGTGATTTTCCATGAGGGGCTGAATTATAAGGGGTGGAAGGAGCGTGGTGCAAGCCATAGTGGGACTTCCAATCAAGACCCTCATACGGCCTCTATCTTTGAGGGGGCATGGGAGGACCCTGGAGATGAAGGGGAGGAGCAGCAGGAGGAGCCAGAACCAGCTGATTCTAACCATGAGGACTCCCGAGAGACAGATTCTACCCCTCAGCCAGCCACGCAGGCCGATGCGCCTGATGATCAGCCAGAGCAGCATGTGCCTTCAACTCCATCGAGAAGCAGTTGGCAGCAGTTGTTGAACCAGCAGCTGTCCAAGACTCCAAGGACTCCAATGAAGAGGGTGACTTGGGAGGAGAAACTGCAGAGGCTGGAAGAAGGAGAGGCAACACCTCTGCGACGCAGTGCTCGAATTTCCCAGCCACCTGAAAGGTTTACCCTGGGGCACATTGCACGCATGCATGATCATCTTGTGTCTGATTTGGATGATTGCATGCTTGTGGACATGCATGGGCATGAGTATGCTCTTGATGTGTGTCTAATGGGTCAGGTACATGAGCCTAGGTCAGTCCACGAGGCGCTGAACCGTCCTGAATGGGTTGAGTCCATGCATGAGGAGCTTGAGTCTCACAAGGTAAATGGATCATTTGAGCTGGTTGATCCAGCAGTGGTACCACCTGGTTTGGAGGTCCTCAGGTGTCAATGGGTTTGGAAATACAAACATAACCCTGATGGTACCTTTGAGAGGCCTAAGTCCAGATTGGTGGTGATGGGAAACATGCAGAAATTGGGAGTACACTATGAAGAAGTGTACTCTCCAGTTGGGAAGCATGCGACCTTGAGAGGTATGCTTGGAATTTCGGCTGCTTTGAAGCTTGACATCCATCATATGGACGTCAAGACAGCCTTCCTCCATGGGGATTTGGAAGAAGAGCTTTACATGCGGCAGCCCCCTAGTTTTGATGATGGGTCTAACCGAGTGTGTCGCCTCAAAAGGTCCATTTATGGGCTGAAGCAAACCCCACGACAGTGGTACCTGAAATTTGATGAGGCTCTCATGGATTTTGGGTTTGAGAGATCTGAGTGTGACCCTGCCTTGTACCACTTTGTGAGAGATGAGGAGAGGATCTCCTTATTCCTCTATATGGATGACCTTTTGCTCCTATGCTCTAGTAAGGTTTTGTTAGATCGAGTGAAAGACTTCTTGTCCTTATGTTTTCGCATGAAGGACTTGGGGGAGGTGAAGTACTACGTGGGAATGCAAATTGAGCATGATGAGAGTGGTATCTTGATTCATCAAGAGAGGTACATTCTTAACATGCTTCAGTCCTTTGGTCTTTCAGAGGCCAACCCCGTGCGTACTCCTCTGCCGACAGGCTTTGATGTGCATGCCTATGAGGATGAACCTTTGCTGCGAGATGAGCTGGTCAAGCTCTACCAAAGCATTGTGGGATCCCTCATGTATGCTTGTACTACCACACAGCCGCAGATTGCATTCGCAACCTCACAGCTATCTAAGGTCGCCTCTTGTCCTAAAATGTTCCACTTGCAGGGCCGCTAAGAGAGTGCTGAGGTACCTGAAAGGTGGTGTCAAGTCAGGTATCTTCTTCCAAACACAGCCCCACTCTCAGGTCCAGCTGGTTGGCTTCAGTGATGCCGACTATGCTGGAGATTTCGCAAGTCACAAGAGTCACAGTGGGTATGTGTTTTGCCTGAATGGGGCAGCTATCTCTTGGCAGAGCAAGAGGCAGCCCGTGGTGGCACTCTCTACCACTGAGAGTGAGTACATAAGTCTGTGTCAGTGCATTCAGGAGGGTGTGTGGCTGAGGCGTTTGTTTGGGGAGTTTGGCCATGCTCATACTGGTGGTGTGCCTGTGTTTGTGGACAATCAGTCTGCCATTGCCCTTGCACAGAATGCATGCTTGCATGGCCGCACCAAACACATGCAGGTCCGGTGGCATTTCATTCGGGAGATGGTGGCTTCGGGAGAGGTGATTTTGCAGTGGTGCCCCACCAACCGTCAGGCTGCTGATATCCTTACCAAGGCTCTTCCATTTGAGCGCCATGGTGTGTGCATGACCTTGCTCGGGATGCAGCCCCATGATGACCGGGTTCCCGCAGCAGATGCCGGCGTCTTGGTGCTCCTCTCCTTGGCGGACTCCATGCTCTGGGTGGCCCCAACCCATGGGCAAGGGGGAGTGGTGTGAAGTCTTTTGCCCTATGGTGTTGAGCCACACCCAGCACGAGCAAGGGGGAGTGATAAATGTGTATTATTCTGTGGTGTAGTTTGCTCTAGCTGGTTGTGGGCTATTGGGTTTTGGGCAAAAGGACTTGGGCTGGTTGGCAAGGTTTGAACTCGTTACCTTACCAACACATACAACCTCAAACCCACTACAACATCTTTGATGTTGCAGTAACGGCACTTGAGAGTGTTGCGGTTTGGTCTAGGGCAAGGGTTGGTGGTGCTTGACAATCACATACTGCAACTTTTCCAGATCGAACTGCTTCCCTTCTCGTTTTTACTAGGTGATTCATGGCTGCCTAGCAAAATTACCAGAATATCCCCTCACACTGATTTCGTCATAATCGGCGGCTCAGATCTTGGTTATGAACGTGCTTTACCATTCTGGAAAGTAGAGATTAAGACCTTTCCAACGCGTATAAGCTCATTTCTAGAAGTTACCTGAGCTGCACGCAATGTTCTGTTGAGATCGTCAAACTTAATCTCTAATTAGTTCTCTCCAGATTTGCACGATTTCCATCAGTTCCTAGCCAGCCCCCTGAGCCATCGCGCCCGTCCTAGCCGGCCCCTAGTGCCGTCGCGCCCGTTCCTAGCTGCCCCCCTGAGCCGTCGCGCTCGTCCTAGTCGGCCCCCTGAGCCGTCGCGCCCGTCCTAGCCGGCCCCTTGCGCCGTCGCGCCCGATTCTAGCCGGCCCCCTGAGCCGTCACGCCCGCCCTAGCCGGCCCCCTGAGCCGTCGCGCCCATCCTAGCTGGCCCCTCGCGCCATCTCGCCCTTCCTAGCCAGCCCCCTGAGTCGTCGCGCCCGACCTAGCCGGCCCCTTAAGCCGTCGCGCCCGTCCTAGCCGGCCCCTCGCGCCGTCGCGCCCGTCCTAGTCGGCCCCCTGAGCCGTCGCGCCCGCCCTAGCCGGCCCCTTGAGCCGTCGCGCCCGTCCTAGCCGGCCCTCGCGCCCGTTCCTCGCCGGCCCGCGCGACCGTTCCAGCTGGCCCCCTTGCGCCCGTTCCTAGTCGGCCCCCGCGCCCGTCCCTTCTTGTCCGCCGGCCCGCCGCCTACCCCAGCGTCCATTGTGTAACTGCGCGCCATACCGCACTGCCCTGCACCGCCCCTCACCCCTCGGTACCGCACTGCACCACACAGCACCGCACATCACCGCACAGTACCGCACTGCATCGCACAGTACCGCACTGCACCGCACTGCACCGCTCTACACCGTACTACACCGCTCTGCACCGCTCCGCACTGCACTGCACCGCTGCTGCATTGATCCTTATGGCGGACCCCGTGCTCCGCTTCGACGCAGAGGGTCAGCCGCTCGAGTTTGACACGTGGCTGGTCGACCTCCGCCGCCATCTCACTGGTCAGCGGCAGGATGGCCACTCCCTGGCGGTCCACCTCGATGGTACGCTTCCGTCTCCTGACCTCCCTGCTGCTCTTCCCGCTGACCCCTTGTCCGTTGACCGTGAGTCCGCTGCAGCTACTGCCCTTGCCCACTCAGTCTGGTTGTCGCGTGACGCCGTAGTGCAGCTTGCGATCAGTCATGCCCTCCCCCTGTCTTAGCGCCCTCACTTCCGGTCGGTTACAACTACGCAGGAATTCCTAGGTGCTGTTGTAAAGCACTATTCCACCCCGCCCGCTGCCTCTGTAGGTCGCCTGATTCTGCCCATGCTGTTTCCTGACCTTGCGTCTTTCCCCACTGTCGCTAACCTGGCCGCTCACCTACGCACGATAGACGCGACCAAGCGCTCTGCCTGCACCGAGACCCAACTTAGAGCCTTTCAGCCGCCCCTCTGCTCTACCCTCTACTTGCTTGCCACCCGCCTCCCTGACCGTCTTGCTACTGCCTGCGACCGCTTCCTTAGCATCCACCCCGGTGACCTCACCCTCACTGACTTTGTCGACACCCTGTTTGCCATAGAGACCCCGTCAGCGCTCTATCGCCCAGACCGGCGATACTGTGCCGGTCTCTTTCAGGGTTGTGCCTCCGCTCAGTGCACCTTCTCCGACGGTTCTGCTGCTGTGGCCGAGTCTGCTGCTGCAGCGCAGATCCTTTCCGGGAAGGGCCGCCGCCCCAAGGCTGGGCGCGGCGGTGGGGGTGGCGGTGCAGGTGGAGGTGGTGGTGGAGTCGGGTTGCCTAGTGGTAGTGCTGACGAGGGGACCCTGACAGGTGCAACCGAGCAGCCTCCTCAGCAGCCGCAGGTGTCGCAGCCGGACACGCACCAGCCGAAGCAGTAGCCCTCGCACCAGCAGCAGCAGCCGCAGCAGCAGAGGCGGGTGGGTGGTCTCCCGCCCGGGTGGCCTGGCGCTGGTGCTGGCACTGGACGTGGTGGTCATGCGCGTGGTGGGCTGTCGGGTGGCGGTTCAGGTGACGGGCAGTGCCAGTTACTGCTCCAGACCGGTCCTCGGCATGGCTTTGTTTGCGGTAAGATCGGTCACACCTCCGTCCGCAGTTTCCGTCGCCTGGACGACATGTTTCGTCAGCGCTTCGGCCCGTCGCCCGACCTCCCCGACTGGCACAACTTGCTTCGCCGTAGCGTTCAGATTTTTTATATGGACATGGATGAGATTGTTGCTGCCTTGCATGTGATGTATGCTGATGACTCTAGTGTGACTGCTTCTTACTACCCCTTGTTGCCTAGTGTAGCCGTGTCTAATCGCGCCTTCCCTGCTGCGTTAGGCGTACGATCCCCTGCTTTGTTTAGCCTTGGTTCTTTTGTCACTACTCCGACTCCGGACGTCACTGCCGCGCTCTCCATCACCTTGTTCTCTGGCACTTCTCGGTGTTTCTTTTGCAACTCCACTACGCTGACGCCGCTTCCTGCTCCTGCTGTAGTTTCCCTTGTTGACCCCTCCTCCGGCGCGGTAAACGCCCGCAGTTCCACCACCCTTCCCTGTCCGGCGGTTCCTTTTGGCTCTCTTACAGGCCTCCACATCCCCTTGTTCTCCAAGAACCTAGTTGGTGTTGGCTGCCTCCAGGACCTTGGCGTCACCACTACGTTCCGTGGTCACGAGCGGTACGCTGTCTGTACCGAGGCCGCCACTGGTGCTCCCCTCACCACGTTCCCCCGGGACCAGTTGTATGGACTGTTCACACTGGACACCGCGATCCCCCCGATTGGGATGTCCCCTGAGGTGTCTGCGTCCACCTAGGTTGCTGGTGCCTGCTCCTGCCGGTCGCTCACTCACCCGACACTACTGTGGCACCACCGTCTAGGTCGCCCTGCCCTCCCGCGTCTGCGTCACATGTCACAGCACGGTCTAGTCCTAGGTCTCCCAGGGTCGTTCCCCGAGTTGCCCTCCTTCCCAGCACCACCGTGCACGCCCTGTGTCGAGGGCTGGCTCCACCGTGCCCCTCACTCCTCCTCGTTCCCCCCTACCGCCGCACCGCTACAGACCCTGCACATGGACGTCTGGGGCCCCGCCCTCGTCCATGGGCCGGGTCGAGAGCGCTACTTCCTAGTGCTTGTCGATGACTACACCCGCTACACCACCGCCTTTCCCCTTGAGCGGAAGGCCGACGTGCCTGGCATTCTCATCCCATGGTTTGTCTCTACGCGTGTCCACCGCGGTCTCCCTGTCTTGCATCTCCACTCTGACCATGGCGGCGAGTTTGCTTCCGGCGTTCTAGGTCATTTCTGTCGTTCGGAGGGCATCACCCAAACGTTCACCTTGCCGGACTCCCTGCAGCAGAATGGGGTCGATGAGCGACGCATCGGTTTGGTCATGTAGGTGGCTCGTACCTCCATGATCCATGCCGGTGCACCCCATTTTCTGTGGCCGTTCGCCGTTCGCTCCGCCGCTCACCAACTAGTGGCCGCACCCCCAATAGCCGCAGGTTTCGCCGACCCTCCTCTGGACCAGGTCTCCTGGTGACGCGTCTGCGTTCCACGTCTGGGGCTGCCTTGCTCACGTTTGTGCCTCTGGCACGGACAAGCTCACTGCCCACACCCTCCCTTGTGTCTTCCTTGGTTTCCCGCTTGACTCGTCCGACTGGCACTTCAACCACCCGCAGTCTCACCGATTTTTTTCACTCCCGCGACGTCACCTTTGACGAGTCCGTCTCCTTCTACCGTCGCTTCCCCCACCGTGGTCCCCCGGTTACTCCCCCCCTGTTCCTGGTCCCGGTGGCCCCTGCCCCTCCCCCTCCCCCTCCCCCTCCCCGGCCTGCACCGTTTGGTGTGTCCCACGTCACCCCCCTCACGTCGGTTGTCCCGGTCGAGGAGTCTGCTGACTCTGGTGGTCCTACGGTGCAGTCCTTGTTGCCTGCCCCTCCCCAGGTGTCTCCTCCTCCGCCGCCTCCACAGCCGCCGTCGCCACCGCTGTCGCAGTTGCCGTCACCACCGTCGCCGCCACCGCAGCCGTCGTTGCAGCCGCCATCGCCGCAGCCGTCGCAGCAGCAGTTCGTTGACTCTAGGGGTGCTGGCGTTGGGGTGGGTACTAGTCCTGTGGGTCTTGTCATGGCTTGTCCCGGCGGGCCTGGGGGTGGTACTGGTGCTTGAGGGGCTTCGGGCTCTGAGGGTGTTCCTTCTGGGGGTGCAGGAGTGGAGTGTTCAGGAGGTAGCCGTGGAGCAGCATGCGGTCCCAGAGTTGGTGCCGTGCCACTGCAGCAGCAGTCACCACCGGTGTCCGCCCTTCGCCTGCTCGGCATTCCGTCCCCTGACCCTGCGTCTGCGCCTCCCCCATCGTCTCCTCCTCTCCCTGTCTACGGCCCTGTGTTCCCTCCCCCCGACTCGACTCCGGCTCGTCTTCCCCCTCGTTCCCCTCCTGTTTCCCCTCCTCTGTCTCCTTACCCAACTCCTCCGTCTGGCGTCTAGTCTCGTCGTCCCTCCCGTGCTCGCCCCGTCTCCCCTCTCCCGCGCTCTCACCCTATATTGCTTCGTTCCCACGCGTCTCGTCCTCCCCTCTTGCCATCGCCTCCTCCGTCCTCCCTTATTTTTGCGCCTCCCCCTCTGTCTGAGTACCTTCGTGCCGCTCGTCCTCTTGTTCCTCGGGTCCTTGCCTCTCTCGTTACCGACCTGTCTGTTCCGATTTCGCGTCTTGACGCTCTTGTTCTGCAGTCGCTGACTCCGCCTCTACCCGCCGCCTTGACTACGCCACCGCTCTGGTTTCCGACCCTGCCTGTCCTCCGTCTGTCGGGGGTGCTCCTGCCCTCGGCAGTGACATCCTGGAGGACCGCTAGTACGAGCTTGCTTTCCTGTCTGAGGCTGCTCCCCATCTCTGCTCCATGCTGCTAGTCCCTGAGGGTAACCCAGACGCTTTTGACATCCCGACCCCTCGCACTTACACTGAGGCGGTCTCGGGACCTTGGGCCTCGCAGTGGATAGCTGCCATGGAGCAGGAGATGGCATCTTGGAGATCCACCGGCATCTACGTCGACGCAGTTCCCCCCTAGTGGTCACCGCTCTTCAAGGTGAAACGCCCTCCTGGAGAGCCGCCTGCGTTCAAGACGCGCTACGTGGCTAGAGGCTTCAGTCAGCGTGAGGGGGTGGACTTCTTTCAGACTTTCGCTCCGACCTCGAAGATGACTACTCTTCGGGTGTTGCTACACGTAGCAGCTCAGCGTGACTACGAGCTTCACTCCCTCGAATTCTCCACTGCGTTTCTTCAGGGCAGTCTACACGAGTAGGTCTACTTGCGCCGCCCTCAGGGTTTCACTGGTACCTTCCCTCTTGGGACCCAGTGGCTCCTGCGGCGCCCCGTCTACAGCCTGCGGCAGGCTCCCCGTGAGTGGCACGACACGTTGCGTGCTACCCTTGCTGACCTACAATTCTTTCCGTCCTCTGCAGACCCCTCGCTCTTCGTTCGTGCCGGCCAGACTCCGTTCTGCATCCTTGTTTACGTAGACGACCTGGTCTTCGCCACTGCAGACAGGGACGCACTGGCCTCCGTAAAGGCAGAGCTGCTGAAGGGACACACCTGCACTGACCTTGGAGAACTGCGCCACTACCTTGGCTTGCAGATCTCCAGGGACAGAGCAGCGCGCACCATCACCCTCACTCAGTCACACTTGGTGCGCCAGGTCCTTCAGAGGTTCGGCCTTCAGTTCTCCTCAGCACAGCCCACCCCTCTGCTTGTAGACCACAGGCTCTCTGCTCCAGTTCCTGAGGAGTCAGTAGAGCTCAGTGGCCCTTACGCAGAGCAGGTGGGTTGCCTCATGTACCTGATGACTTGCACTCGCCGAGATCTCGCATACCCTGTCAGCATCTTGGCTCGCTTTGTGGCCACAGGCAGACACCGACCTCAGCACTGGTATGCCGCAAAGAGGGTTTTGCGTTATCTTGCAAGTACATCGGGCATGGGGTTAGTGCTAGGAGGGCGCACGCCAGTGATCCTTACTGGGCACACAGACGCTTCGTGGGCAGACGACGCTGAGACCCTTAGGTCCTCGCAGGGCTACTGCTTTAGTCTTGGTTCAGGTGCTGTCTCGTGGAGAGCTACTCGCTCGTCGTCTGTTGCCCAGTCCAGCTGTGAGGCTGAGATCTACGCCGGTGCCATGGCGGCACAGGAGCTCCGCTGGCTGACCTTCTTGCTCACTGACTTAGGTGAGCGGCCTAGCTCTGCCCCGGTCCTGTACGCTGACAACAGGGCCATGATCCTCCTGTGTCAGGAGCCGCGACTCGAGGGAAGAGCGAAGCACATCCAGCTGCGGTACTTCCTCCTGCGTGAGCTACAGCAGCGCCGCCAGGCTCGCGTAGTACACTTGGCCTCCGGTGCCAACACAGCTGATATCTTTACGAAGGCGCTTGCGCCTAAAGATCATCAACGGCACTGTGTGTTGCTAGGTCTTGTTCCTGTAGCCTCTCACTTGCTAGGGCCTTGACTGTGTACAGACCTTTTATATATTTTATTCTGACTGGCCTTGTGGCCTCTTCCAGTGGCTGGACTAGTAGTGCCGCCCTGGTTTTGCTTTTGACTTGTGTCTGTACTCGTTTGACTGGTCTTTAGACCCTCAGAGGTCGGACTAGTAGTGCCACCCTGAGCTGCTCGTTCTCTCATTAGGAACAGCTCCTATACAGTCTAGGGGGTGTGTCAAACATATATTGTTATGTTTGCATAGTCTGTATAGGTTTGTGTCTTAGAGGGTACAGCTTCCAGGTTATATCACCTTGTACTCTCCCATTCTAGTTCATTCTCTCATTCTAACAGTTTCTCCTACATTACAACTGCGAACTGTGGTGTTTCCAAGGCACCTTAAAATCGAATCGAAGTCCTTTATGAGGGTTAGAGGAAGGACTTTTGCGCAGCAACTGACGACTGGCGTCAAATATATCTGCCATTGCCAGCAGTACAGTACCCCCATATTTGCCATCGTCGTTCGTGCCACCCTTTCCTCTTTACGCTGGCGGCTACCATGGCGGCATCTGCGCCCGTATCTCGCGCCATTCGTTCCGCTAGACTCTCCTTTCCCCGGGGCGATGTTTCCGCCGAAGCCCAACACACCGCGCGGGTTCCCATTTGGCGCAGCAAGCGCCCGTTCCTTCAAACCAACATCCGTCTTGCCGCCAACTCCGGCGCGCGCACACGTAGTGGTGCACGGGGTCCGCGCGCAATCTTCGCGGGTTACGCGGAGTCAACGCGCGCAGCGGGGCCAAACGCGGGGGTTGCTGCGCGCACGGAGTGGGAGCTGAACGTTCGGCGGCGAGCGCCGCTGGCGGAACGATACGGCGTGCGCGTGGAGAGAGACGTATCCGGCGATAGAATCGAGGTGAATAGAATCCGAGATAGATAGCGCGCGCGCAGGCGACGCAGTAGCCGGTTTTCCGAGGAGCGGGTGACGGTTGAGGCGCCTCAAAAGTCGCAGTAGCGCGCGGGCAGGCGACGCGGTGACGGGCGGGTGGCTGGTTGCGGGTACATAGGTTAGGTTGGGCGGAGGGTGGGCGGAGGGTGGGCGAAAGCCTTCCGCTAGAAGGGCGAGCGGGGCGATGAGGGTGGGGCACTGCGCTGTGCGCCGTGTGTGCTGCACGCTGCACGCCTGTGTTGCGGTCGGTCACCCGTACCCGTGGCTACCACTCCCCATCCACGCCTCGCAACCATGCTCCCATGTTGCCATACGGCAACCATCGCCCATCGGCCCATCGGCCCATTCTACACCCATCCCCCCTTAGCATCATTCGCAGAGCCGTCTTTTACTCAGCCCTGCATTCCTCGCGCCCGCCCGCCCCCTGCCTCCTGATTTGGGGTCATGGTGCAGGGTTTGGGGTTTTGTCAGCCCGCATTGACCTCGCGAGTGTACACTAACCGCTCTCAGCGGCTTGCATGCCAGCGGGCATCCTCTCCCCCGTCCACTTATCACCACCCCGCTACCCCTGTCACCCCGCAAAACCCAAACCCCCTGCTCATTTCCGCTCCCAGCCCCTTTCCCGTCCCCTGTCCCCCCGTGCCCCTGTGCCCCTGTCCCCCTGTACCCCTGTACCCATGTGCCCGTGTGCCCCTGTGCCCTCGTGACCCCTGAGCAAGCCAATCGCCTGTCAAGTGTGCCTCGCATTTGAGCAGCACCTTACGAGTGCCGCTGTTTCTTGATTCTACTTGCTGTTTTTTTATTCTACTTGCTGTTTTCAGGAGCTGGGAGCAGAGAGGTGGAGCCGGGGGTGGACGCCCGGCTTGTGTGCTTGCCAAGTGTGCCCCACATTTCAGCAGCCCTTGTGCTTGCCGTTGTGCTCATGCCCTGCTTGCTCTTCTCAGGAACTGGGAGCAGAGAGGTGGAGCCGGTGGTGGACGCCTGGGCCGTGTGCTTACCGGTGGGACTGGCGGGTGGAGGAACAGGTGCTGGTGACACGTGGCACTCTTAGAGTCACCCCTGATGTGAGTGATGGTGACACGCGGCACAATGACGACGCCTCTTTCCTGTGTGCATTCCGTTGTTTAGGGTGCGCACTTAGTTTCACTTTGGCATGCAGGCGTCACACTTTCAACACCCCTTCTTCCGGCTGCCAACCACACGGTCAGAAATGGGAGAGGAGTCCAAATCCACTCCCTTCCCCTGTCTCTGTCCACTAATTTTGACTCTTGCACTTTCCCTTTGATGTTTTGTGCTGCATCTCTGGCTGGAGTGCGAAGAGAAATCGGGGATACAATCTCTTGCCCTCTACCGCCATCCACCCATGCATCTGTGCATGGCAGGAATGTGAGGAGAGCTTGGAGTTTGCAGCCGGTGACTTGGTGTGCTTCCCGCGGTGGTTCTTCGCCGAGCTTGAGTTCAGTGCGGATTATGAGCAGCGGTACAGATTCATCACATATGGGGAGGACTACTGATCACATAAGTGCTTATGGAAAGTATGAGCCATGGAAAGGACGTGGTAGAGCAGTTCTCCAAGCCATATAAGCGATAAATAAGGAAATCCTTCCAGAACATGGGGAATCTAGTGGGAGCATGAAGAACGTAGGAGGAATCCGTAAGAGGGAAAAGTGGAAGATGCAAGGACATACAAATCTCAATAAGCCCATATCACCGTTTTTTACATTAACATGTTGCTTGCTCCACGTGTAAGGAATTTCCATTCCTTACTGAGTCGCCCGCTACCGCGTACACCCGAACACTTCGACTCGTCACGTTCGGCCTACATTTTCGGCCCAACCCTTTCTCGAGTCACGCCCGACAGCGTCGCCACATTGCCGAACCTATCCACGTCCCGAGGTTATCGCCCTATTACGTCCACTCCTATATAACCTTGTGCTTTCATGGCAATAGTGACGTCGTATTCTCATTATAGTACATTGACATCTTCTAAATCATAACAGCTGGTATCAGAGCCCGGCCTTTCTCGGAACCTTCCGTTTTCCCCGTTAGTTAGTTAAGGGTAGTCAGAGGGGATTAACACGGCTGCACAGCAGTTGCCTTTGATCGTAAATATTTTTACGTCAACAACTACAGCGTGTGCGCTAGTTTCTGCCCCGTCCTGACCGCCATGGCCCCGGTAGACTCGACGGTTGAGGAACAGACGACCTCGATTGCTGCGAACTGTGCCCGGGAAACAGTAGACATGCAAGCATTAATGGAGCAGTTGAATAATTTGACAAGCGTCGTCAACAACCTCCGTGACGAAAACCAACGACTTCGCTAGGCGCAGGAAAGGCGTTCAGAGGAGCCGGGCGACGATGCACGAAGCGAGGCGGGTGAGCAGCAACCGACACCAGTGGAGCTGGTACGGCTAGCGGCGACAGCCCCGCGCTCGACAAGTGGCGGCGTGAGATATCAGCAACCCGCTCCTTTCGACCCAGCTAATGAAGGCGTGACGGTGCGGCAGTGGATATTCGCCATGAATATCTACTTTAACGCGGCGGGCATCCGAGACGACCAGAAGCGGATCAGCCACGTGTTGACACTGCTGCAAGGGGCCGCCCTACAGTGGTGGAAGGTCATCGTCGACTCAGCGGCAACTCGCACAGAAGGACAGCATGAGTGGTCCGAAGAATTCGGCGACGAAGACGAAACAGATTTGCTGTTTGGTGCAACTCACATTCGCACGTGGGCAACGTGGTGCGCAGAGCTTCGCAAGCGGTTTGAGCATGCTCGTGACTCAGACAAAGCGCGCGAGACTTTACGCATGTGGAAGCAGCTGGGATCTGTGTCTGACTACACCGCGCCATTCTTGACGTTGGTGGATCGATGTGGCTACATGCACGAGTTGGAGAAGGTCGACAGGTACATGGGCGGGCTGAAGCCTGAAATACAGTACCAAATAAAATTACAACGACCTGCGAAGCGGTTACAAGACTTCATCCAACTCGCCGAAGCCGCTGACTCGCTCACGAAGCCGAGGACGAACTTCAACGACGGAGGTCGCCCTCGAAAACAGTACCAGCGCGCCACGATAAAATGGATGGACGCAGTGGATATTTACGCAGTTGCTCCGCGAAATACGGGGCTATGCTACCACTGTGGCCGACCGGGTCACATCAAACGCAACTGCCAAGAGTTCATAGCCATCCAGAATTCTATGGGGAAGAAGCCGGAGGAGCGACCGGGAAATGGATCGCGTCAGTAAGTACCGGGCCCCTTACTGACGGGCAGGCTTCTTCGTCCGAACCACACAGCCCCCACCGGGTCGTGATCCCGATTGCTGCAATCGACCGGACCCGGACGAATAAGGGGGACGAAACTGCTGATCACCCTGTATTGGTGGAGGGTAAAGTCAACGGGGTGTTGCTGAAAATATTCGTGGATGGAGGCGCGAGTGACAGTCTCATACAACTAGACAGGGCTAAGAAAATGGGTATCCCCTTATTAAAGTGTCTACCCAAAATTGACGCAAGACTGGTGGATGGAACACCGCTGGCTATACGGGAGCGGGCGGAGCACGTCAGTTTCCACTGCGGCGCGCACGTAAAATTTCGGATGGGACTGCTGGCGACTACACTCGACGGGTGCGACGTGCTGCTGGGACGGGATTGGCTGCGACAGTACAACCCGAGAATCGACTAGACGAGGGGCAGCTGCACCATCAAGATCGATGGGCACTATCACGAGTTACCGAAATGGACGGGACCCCGCATGCGAAGTACCCAAGTCCACGCGATCACCTTCAAGCGCGCGATAAAAGCGGGAGCAGCAGCATGCGCCGTCGATCTTCGCGAAGTGACGTCGCCGATAACAGCGGAAGATATCACAAAGCTGTGTGAAGCCGTACCTCCGGATTTAGCGAAACTCATTCGAAAATACCCCGAGATTTTCCCGGACGACCTACCCGCCGGACTTCCGCCAAGCCGACCCGAAGACCATCGCATCGAGTTGGAACCAGGCGCACAACCGACAGTACAGCGACAATTTCGGCTCAGCCAACCGGAACTGGAGGAATTGCAGCAGCAGTTGGATTACCTCCTAACGAAAGGTTTTATCCGCCCAAGCACATCCCCATACGCCGCCCCCATACTGTTCACACCGAAAAAAGATGGCGGATTCCGTATGTGCATCGACTACCGTGCACTCAACCTCATCACCATCAAGTCCCGTTACCCGATCCCGCGAGCCGACGACCTACTCGACCAACTTCGCGGAGCCAAGTTCTTCTCGAAAATCGATCTGCGAGGAGGTTACCACCAAATTCGCGTCGCCGCCGAGGATTGCCACAAGACCGCCTTCCGAACCCGCTACAGTAGTTACGAATACCTGGTGATGCCCTTTGGACTCACGAACGCGCCCTCGACCTTCCAGATGACCATGAACGGTGTTTTTCGCGAACTCCTGGATAAATGCGTAATTATCTACCTCGACGACATCCTAATCTACAGCCGCAGCAGGGAGCAGCACCTAAAGGATCTTGATGCAGTCTTCACGCTGCTGCACAAGAATCGCCTCATCACGAAAGGGTCTAAGTGCGACTTTCTTAAGCAGGAGTTGGAGTTTTTGGGCCATGTCGTCTCTACCGAAGGAGTGAAAATCGACCCCAAGAAAATCAAGACTATACAGGAATGGAAGCCGCCGACCAACCTCAAGGAATTGCAAAGCTTTCTAGGTTTCGTCAACTACGTCCGCCGATTCATCCCCAATATGGCGGGGTTATCTGCTCCTCTAACTGACCGACTGAAGGATCACGACTGTTTTTGGTGGGGTGAGAAGCAGCAAGCTGCATTCGATCAACTCAAAATCGCCCTCACGTCGCCGCCCGTCCTCCGCATCTCCGATCCCAACCGTCCATACGAAGTCGTCACCGACGCCAGCGACATCGCCATCGGTGCAATTCTCCTCCAGGACTTCGGCGACGGGTTACAAACAGTCGCCTACGAATCACGGAAGATGCAGGGCGCGGAGAAAAACTATACAGTACACGACAAGGAAATGCTGGCGATCGTCCACGCGTTCAAGACCTGGCGGTGCTACCTGACCGGAGCTGACGTCACGGTGCGGACGGACCACAAATCCTTACAGTACCTGCGCGCCCAACCGAATCTCAACCCGCGACAGATCCGATGGCTCGATTTCCTCGAGTCAAATTTCCATTACACCATCACCTATAAATGGGGGGCCAATAATATCACCGATGCATTGACCCGCCCTACTGTCCATACCGTCGCGATACTAACCGCCCAGTCAAACCCATTACTTATAGGACTATTCACCCACGGCTACAAGATCGATCCCTTTTTCCGCTCCGCTATCCATCAACAGCATACCACCGCTACTGGACCGTATTTTCATAAGCGCGGTACCTCTCGCATCTGGGTACTCGGCTACGATTTACTTCGTACCCTGCTCATCCAGGAATCCCATGACAACCCTACCTCATGACATTTCGGCGTCGATAAAACCACGAAGATGCTGCAGCAGAATTATTACTGGCCGAACATGGCCGATGACGTGCGCAAGTACGTGTCCTCCTGCACCGCCTGCCAGATTATGAAATCGTCGCATCAGCGAGCAGCCGGACTACTACAGTCGTTGGATCCGCCCGAGCGACCCTGGCAACACGTCACGATGGACTACGTGACAGGACTGCCGGCCGGTCCCAGCGGAAACAACGCCATCCTCGTGGTCGTTGACCGACTCACAAAAATGGCGCACTTTATCGCCTGCCAACAGACAATCACCGCCGAACAAACTGCGCAGCTGTTCATCGCGAACGTCATCCGCCTGCACGGACTGCCCTCCGCCATCATTTCGGACCGAGACCCAAAATTCACATCGAATTTCTGGCGTCACCTGTGGGACCAATTTGGCACCAAACTCCAATTTTCATCCGCCTACCACCCACAAACCGACGGGCAGACCGAACGCGTTAACCAAACCATGGAGCAGCTCATTCGCACCACCTGTACTGACCCATCGACATGGGAGAAATCCCTTCCGCTACTAGAATTCGCGTATAATAACGCGACCTCAGCCACAACCAATCAATCCCCATTCTTCCTCAACTACGGACAGGACCCGGTAGTACCCTCTACACCGAACATCGAGTCACCAGTGCCCCGGTCAGGGCCAGGGATTGGTTTAAAAGGACCCTTACTAATCAGGGTACAGTGCCGTTTTTACCCTGGCCCTTGGGATGAAAATTTCGGCAGCTTGTTAAAATCATGGTGTTTTGGCTTAGAAAAAAAATTACCCTGTTTGAGACAGGGTGTTTTTGCGGCTACCCTGTAGCAACATGCAGAGCGCAGTAGTAAAATAAACATATACTATTACACTAAGCTTCGTGTTGAATAATTAGAGTTAAGCTAACCAGTTTACTTGCCCCACAGGTGTTTAGGGAACCTACAATTTACTGCTGCTACTCTTGCATACTCTAGGCAATAGTCACTCTACGCTAATGAAACAGCCCCTACTGCAATCACTCTAGTCTACCCTCTAGCTCGTCTTGCGCCGATGCCTCTTGAGCGTCAGGCTCCATGAACTCCATTGCAGTAGGAGCAGCACCGGGCACATCGCGGATGGGGCATCGAATCTTCTCACCCCGAAACCAAGCAACCACATCGAACCAATCAACCTCGTAGTCAAGGAGCGAGCACGTCATCAGGTGGCCCAGGCTGATGTCGCCGATGCTGCCGCGGGCCCAGGTCTTGATCAAGTTCTGCTTCGAGAAGCCCCTCTCGCACTCGACTGTGCTGAGGGGGAGGACGGCCACAGCTTGCCACAACAGCATGATGTTGGGGAAGGAGCGCTGCCAGTCGTCGTCACGCAGGGTGTTGCTGAGCGCCTGGTGAAAATCCTCCTTGTGGTGCCGCGACACCATTGTGGATGTAAACATCCACAGCTCCTCCAGAGCGCGGTTGTAGTCAAAGCCTAGGGGGTGGGGGTAAGCAAACACATAGCACGGCTTCCTGAGCATCTCGGGATGGTGATGCAAACATATACACCATGTATACTACAATAACTCAGTGGAATGCATTGACTCATACACTAACCTGGAAGCTTGTCGCGGAAGAGGCCGTTCAACTGCTTCAGCCACTTTTTGAAGGCCGCAAGTCGCGCAAGATCCTCGGAGAGGTACGCTTGCTCCAGGAAGAGCTTCGTGCCCTCGAGGTTCTGAAGGTCGGAGAGGCGACGATCCAGGCCGTTGTTGACTTCTTTGGCATACTTCACGGCCGCCTCGTAGCACGCAGTGATGTCGCCATTTGTGTTTTGTCCAGGCAATGAGCGCTCATGAAGGGTGAAGCTGAACGCCACTGGCTTGTCGTCGCCATCCACCCCTTCGGCGCGCATTGTTCGCCGATCCAGGGAGGCGTGATTGGCGAGGAACGCGGGCAGATGCAGCTTCTCACCATGCTCGAATGCGCTGCCAAGGGCTCCGTTGAGGTAGCGGGCTTTAATGCGCCTCTTCGTCTGCTCCACATGGTGGGCCACCAGTGTCACATCAACCTGCACGGCCACACAACAGAGGCCAAAACGGACGAATCAGCAACGGGAATTAACAGGCTTGAGCAACGATAGCAGAAGTACATTGAACATGGGAAGGCATAAGGAGGCCATCAGAATTGTGTACCCGTGCACAATTCTCATCTCACCTGGCGGGCCTGGAACTTCGTGTTCAGGTGGTTGAGCTCGGTAAGGATGTCAGCAAGGAACCGGACGAGGAAGCTGAATTTGAATGATGTCATGACTTCATAGTGCTCGCCCCTATGTTCACGAAGCAGAATGGTCGCGGCCGGCAACACCTCCACGAGCCAGTTCACCGCCTCGCCACGGGAAAGCCAGCGGATGAGGTGGATGCCCTGGTGCTCCAACGAGGTGTAGCAGAAGATCAACTGCAGATTCATGAACCGCCCGTGCCACACGTTGCTGCGCCCCAGGATGTCGGCGAGAACGCGAATCACGAGGTCGATCATCGCGAGCTCTGGTACCATTCCAGCTGCATCCTTGGCCGCGAGAGCCTCTCTGAGGGAGGAGCGGTAGGATGGGAATAGCATCAGACAGAGGCGTAAAAGACAGAGGTGTCTAAAACAGATAACAATAGTATAAGCAGAGCATTAGACAGAGGCGTTGGCAAGTCGACACATGTCGGACCCTCGGCAATTGTGGATGGGAAATCAGCATACCTGTGGGCGATGCAGTGTGTCGATACAAGGTGCTCGATGCGTGCCCGCAAGTGGGCGACCACGCCATTCCGCTCCCCCGTCATGACCGAAGCGCCGTCGGTGGACATGCCTGCTATCCTCTGCAGGTCGAGGCCCATGCCTTGGAGGTAGCGAAGTAGTGTTGTCGTCAATGAAGCAGCATCGGTGCGGTCGACGCTGAGGAGGGTGACGAATTCGGTCACGACCGCAATTCCCTTGAAGAACGTTGCATACAGGATGAGGTGCTTGCCGTGAATGCGATCAGTGCTCTCGTCGATAGAGATCCCCACAAAAGGCGAGTCCTGGATGTGCTTGAGTTGCTGCTCTTGAAGATGGGAGGAGATGGCGCGGATGCTCTCCTTGAAACCGTACCTGCCATTGGACCGGAATGGGAGAGGGTATGCTAAATGAGCCACACATAAACAGATATGTCATACATCACAAGCAAGCAGAAACCGAATGGTCATAAAATAGACGACTCACTTGCTGTAGTAGGAGCCGTAACCGCCGTCAGGTGGTAGAACCGGAAGCCCCTCTCTAGCCATGAACTAGCAGAGTGGGACAAACATGGCGATGGGCGCGTCCTTCTTACACACGAACATCGCGATGTGTAGGCAGCGGATGAGGTGCCGCGTCTGTCGGTCGGTGCATTGCCATCGGCTTAACGTTACCTGGCGAGCCCGTTCCTTCTCAGCGTCCTCTTCCGCCTTCAGCGCAGCCTTGTGTGCGCGGGTTCCAAGGTGGGAGCGTATGATGCCGAGCTGCAGGTCGCGCCCTCCCTCCCCCTTGACACCGTAACTGGTGTTGGCCATGGGGTCGGCGTGCTTGAGGCAGACGTTGCACTTGAGCGCGGGACGACCGTTTCGCATGCGGTTCAAGCGAAGCCATGGAAACCGCTTCGACCAATCGGTGTCGAAGCGGTTCTTCACTAGTGCGTACTCGGCCTCCGCAGCGGTCGTGGGATTCGGGAGGACAGAGGAGGCGTTGTCAGAACGGGGAGGCCTAGCGGGCGGTGGACTGGGAGGCCGATGCGGGGGAGGTGTCCCCCAGAGCCTCTGCTGCATCCACTGGCAGCGGCGCTTGCGATTAAGTGGCGCTGTTGGTTTAGGGCGCGACGGCGAAATGGGGGGATGGGAACATCCCTCCCCTCCACTGGTGGTAACGCGCCTAGATGCGGTTGGCGAGCAAGGAGGGGATGCGCTAAGAGTGACAGGATTGGAGTGCTCGCTACGAGGAGAGCTGATTGCGGGAGGGATGACAGGCGGGGGGATTCGAGGGGCTACTGCTCGGGGGGCGAGAGGAAAGACTCCCAGCACGCTGAGGCCATTGCAGTGGCGCTCAGGTGCGTCGTCTGTCTCCTCATCGTCCTGTGAGAGGACCATAGAGTGGGTAGCTAGTGTTGTAAGAAACTTGGAGGGGGATGGAGGCACTAACAGGAGTTGCACGTATTGGTGTCTTGGCGATCTGTAGGTATGGAGGGGATGAGGAGGAAGGGCCCTTCTTGGGTTGCTTGCGCGCCACGAAACGCACCCCGCCATGCTGCACAGCGCGCGCATCGGCTGGCAGTCAAGGCGTCATGTTGCTGCATGCGTTTGCCAGCGTGATGGCAGCCAGGCTGATGTGCGCGGGGAATATGCTGCCAACGCGAGAAACTATGCAGCGTTGGCAGCGATGCTGCCTCACATAGCCAGGCTGTCGGGCACGCGTGGCAGTTGTTTTGGGACCAAAAGGGCAGTCCTACTGTTGATGGGCGGGACGGCTTGGGGAAGGTGACGCGCGTGGCAGATTCGACAGGTGTCGAATCTCCAGGGTTTTTCACATTCTATTTCAGGGTGTTTTCGGCCACACCCTGTCAGGGCTGGGTAATCGTGCAAACACCCTGTCTACACAAGGGTAAAAATTTCGGTACGCTGTTTGATTAAGGGTGACAAACAAAATACCCTTACAAGATCAGGGTGATCTAAAAAAAACGGCCGCTGGTCAGGGTAATCAGGGTGAAATACCCTTGAATCATTGGCCCTGGCCCCGGTCCCAGAAATTTGCTGAAGACATTCTCGCCACTCGCGACAAAGCAGCTGAGGCCATTCGGAAAGCTAACCTAGTCGCAAGCCGACAAGCCGATCGACATCGACGCGACGTCACTTACAAAGTGGGAGATCTTGTCCTCCTCGACACTCGCAATTTGCGGCTGCCGATCCCAAGCAAACTCCGACCCAGATTCTGCGGACCTTTTCAAGTGACCAACCTCGTGACACCTGTCACTGTCCACCTTCGGCTACCGGCTGATTGGCGCCATCACCCGGCTTTCCACGTCAGTCTTCTCCGACCCTACGTCCCGAGTTCGTCGGACTTGGCACGCAACCGTGGTGTACCGCAACTGACGCCTTTGCAGGAACCGACGACCGAGCCCTTGAAAATTCTCGGCCATCGCATCACCACGCAGCTGAACCGTCGGATGGTTGATTTCCTCGTCCGCTGGCGCGATCGCACGTCCGAAGACGACAGCTGGGTGCCCCTCGCTGATCTAGAATCACATCCGATTCTAACGGCATATTACCAGCGTCGGAATGTCTCCGATGCCCACGGTCTCGTTTAGGAGGGGGGGGTAGTGTAAGGAATTTCCATTCCTTACTGAGTCGCCCGCTACCGCGTACACCCGAACACTTCGACTCGTCACGTTCGGCCTACATTTTCGGCCCAACCTTTTCTCGAGTCGCGCCCGACAGCGTCGCCACATTGCCGAACCTATCCACGTCCCGAGGTTATCGCCCTATTACGTCAACTCCTATATAACCTTGTGCTTTCATGGCAATAGTGACGTATTCTCATTATAGTACATTGACATCTTCTAAATCATAACACCACGCACGTTTGTAACACCGGCCTGTTCTCGGAAAGGTACCACAATTACGCGTGGGGTGGGGGGTGAAGTAGACGAAATTTCGACACAGATAACAAATATTGACGGCTGTTCGTTTCGTAGGCAGGCTGGGACGCTGGAAGGACCACCGATCTCAGCTCGTAGGGTATCCCGATGCATCCGTGATCCAGCAATTTTAGCCACAAATTTCATAAATGCGGGAGTGCGGCTCGTCGGCGTCATCGAACCGCCTGGTTTCTTACTCGGCGCTAGACTTGTCCGTGCGCTCGATGCCGCACACCCACCGTCGATTCAATGTGCGCTCACCTCCAGCTCCCGCCTGTCCGCCTTGTTCCATTCCACGTCGCACAGCACAGTCGCCCCTCCCCTCCCCAACCTCCAGGCACCCCTCCCTCCCACCTCTTCACCCACCCAGCACTCAAGCAGGCACGCGTTACAGGAACAGCCGAAACTGTGTGATGGCCACCAAGCACTGTACAAAATGTTGGCCGTGTAAATGCGGATGCCACTCCACGGATACTATAAGTAGCGGCTGCACGACGAGTCTTCTCCAGATTGCACTGCTTTCGCCAATTGACTGCATACTGCTATCTATCCCTGTCCGGCCGTTGCCTGCCGCTATCTCGCAGACCAACAGGTCACCGTTAGCAGTGACACGTCAGCGTTAGTAGTGACACCACAACGGTACTCTTTCAAGCAGCACTTGATCTCACAGCCTCAACCCCGCTTGAATCGTCTTAGCCCAACGCGTCGGTTCGTGCACTTCCGAAGCTCGCGCATCCTGTACTATTCACGAACTGCAGCGCCTAGCAAGCTATGACGATGTCGCGCTTGTACACGTTTTCTCTAGTCGCGGCGCTGCTGCTGCTGGCCGCGTGCGCTGACGCAGCACCGACGGTAGCGCAATTCCGGGCGGAACTGAAGGCGCTGAAGGCGGTGACGGTCAGCCAGAAGGATTACAAGGCGTTCGCCAGAGGAATTGACAGCATGCGTGAGTACTTCTATCTGTATTCGTCGAAATTCGTCTCGCTGGTTCTCTTCGTCGCTCTACTACTATGCGTTGGCGCGCAGCCTGCTTTAAACGGACTCGCGCTCTCAAGCTTCGCGCGTCCGCTTGTTCACTCCTCGTGTCCGACCCGGAGTCCGGGTGACACGCTGACATGCGTACATCAAGTGCATCGAACTAGTAATTTCCAGGTTACTCACACGTCGGAGTTCCCAAGGTGTCCAATTTGTGTTCGTTTTGAGTGACGGTAGACGCGACCGACACGGCTGTTGGAAGTGCCCCCTTCCAACAACGGCACGGTTCGCTTGTGTTCAAATGAAGGTACGAATCATTTGACGAAAAGGGCATGATGCCGCTTTGCCATGTCTCACCCACATCCCCTCTCCCCTCCCTCCCCCCCCATCCACCCACCCGTTGCCCTCGTCCCTTGCAGTCGCATACCCCGACTCGCAGCTGCCACAGCTGTTCAACACGACCATCCTTGTGCCCACCAACAAGGCCATCTACGCGCTCGGGATCAAGACCCTGCAAAACAGCACGGCCATGGAGGCCATCGGCAAGTACAACGTGCTGCTGCGCCAGCTCACCGGCGCGCAGCTGCTCAAGCTCGCCGCCAACACGCCGCTGCGCACCAAGGCACCCAAGGAGTTGCTCGCGCGGTATGCGTCGGCTGGCGCGAACGCGGGGAAGGCGGTGCTGGGCCCGCTGAACGCACCCGCTGCGAAGCAGGGCGTGGTGCTGACGCCCGACCTGTATGCTGGCAAGTTCCTCAAGGTGCACGGCGTGTCCGTGTTCTTCCGCCCCAAGGGCTACTGAGAGTGTATTTGGAGTCAACTCGAAGTACGGTACTTGCAGTCAGGGAAACTGCTCAGGGTGCATGGCGTGTCGGTGTTTCTCCGGCCCAAGCGGTACTGAAAAAACAAGCTACCCACAGGAGGATGCTGCGCTGTGTAAGGTAGTGTACCCTAGTGCTCCCGGCAGCTCACCTCAGCCTCGTGTCAGAGCCTTGTGTCAGGAAGTTTTTGCCACACAAGGGTATGTGGCTAGAGGAAGGGCAGGCCCTAAGCTGACACAATGTTCTGACACTAGGTTAAGTTAGGCCTAGTTGTTGCTGTTATTTTGCAATGTTACCATCCTTTTGATATGTCTGCAATCAAATCCAGGCCCTCCACACACCTGCACGATTGGAACACAATGCAACATGTCCAACCAAAGTGCTCTCATCCTTGTCTGCTGTGCTGCTGTGAAAGACAAGTACAAGCCAGGCTCTTGTATTGTACTATGCGGTGCAGTGGCATGAAGGCATTTCGTTTGATTACGGTACCACACTGCAAGCCTGCTAAGAGGCACAGTAAGAACTGATAGGAACATGGCGTACTACTCGAAAACTCCATGCATGCTCTGCTACATGGTGGTAATGCTATTGTTGATGCCAAAGCATGTCTTCCTGAGGCAAACGGTGACAGCTAGGGCAAGGGCATGCATTGTGGCACATGTCGACATCATGGCACAGACCAACATCACGGCACAGGCATCATGGCACAGGCCGGCATCATGGCACAGGCTAACAACACAGCACAGGTTGGCATTATGGCACAGGCCGACATTATGGCACAGGTCGGCATCGTGGCACAGGCCGGCATCATGGCACAGGCTGGCATCATGGCACAGGTCGGCATCATGGCACATGCTGGCATCATGGCACAGACCGACATCGTGGCACAAGCCGGAATCATGGCACAAGCTAGCATCATGGCACCGGCCGGCATCATCGCACAGGCTGGCGTCATGGCACATGCCGGAATCATGGCACAGGCCGGCATCATGGCATAGGCCGTCATCATGGCACAGGTCGGCATCATCGCATAGGCTGGCATCAGGGCACAGGTGGGCATCATGGCACAGGCCGGCAACAGGGCACAGGCCGGCATCAGGGCACAAGCTAGCATCATGGCATTGGCCAGCACTATGGCACAAGCTGCGTTCAGAGGCCCAAAGCTTGCGGGGAGGGTTGGAGGCTGGAGGAGAGGGGTAGGGGTATCGAGATGACGATGCTCTGAGCGGCATTCATGCGGCTGCGCTGCTCCCACGCCTCCCACCACGGCCCTGCCCCACCTGCAATGCTGCTGCCGTGCTTTCCGCCTACTGAAGCAGCTGGTGGGATGATTTGGGAGAAAGGGGGTGTGGCAGAAAGGGAGGGGAGAATAGGATAAAGTTCAAGGAGGGCATGAAGGGGGCGAGAGAACAAAGTACAAGAGCCCGTGTCCCACGGCCACTGCTGCTGCTGTGCTATCTGCCTCCAGAAGCATAAGCATCTTGTGGGAGACAAAGGGGTGTAGATGGAGCATGTTCGTGGCATGTACCAAGAACGCTCTGCCGACCTTGAGAGCATGGCGGAGAGCTTGCTCCCCAAAGATCAGGGGAGTTCACTTGCCCGCTCAATGCACCTGTGGGAGCGAGGGCTACCTATCCTAGAGAGCCAGTGCCAGCTTCCAGACTGCATGCTTGCACGCGCGGGGAGGTGTGCGTCGACACCGAGCCACCGCGAGCAGAGACCACATTGCTTGTGTGCGCAGAAGATAGCGGTGCTCTAGGTGTTGCTGCATTGTCAGTCGTCCAGCGGCACAATGGCGACGATGCAGGAGTCGCAGCAGTTTCTCGAGGCTCCGAAACCGCGCCCACCTGAGCCGTTCGATCCGAGCGATCGAAACTCCGACGTCCGCACATGGATCGCCGGCATGGAGATCTACTTCGCAGCCGTCGGATGGAGCTCGCCAGTCTGGGACGGTCAACGTGTACGACTCGCGGCGACGCTGATGCGAGGGCTGGCACTCGAGTGGATTGGCGGCAACATCACCTTCATCCACGGTAAAGCCACGTGGCAGCAGTTCCGTACCGTTCTGCTGAAACGCTTCGAGCCGATAAATTCGGGTTTCCTTGCCCGGGAAAAAAATCATCGACACCGGCAGCTCGGGAGTGTAGCGCAGTACACGCAGCAGATGGAGGAATTTTATAACCGAATTCCCGACCTGACCGAAGGGGAAAAAGTAGAGTCGTACCTCGCCGGGCTGAAGACCGAAGTCAAACGACAAGTGGCAGCGTCAAACTACGCGAGCTACAGTGACGTCGTTTCGGCAGCGGAGCGCTTCGACATGGTCAGCGCCGGGACACGACGGACGCACGTCGGCCGTACGCGACAGGGCGACCGCTCGGCTCACCCCACGTTCGCCGACCCGATGGAAGTCGACAGGTTCGAAGGGCGGCCACGTCCGAGAAACACCAACTTCACGTGTGATTTTTGCGGGGTGCCGGGTCATCGAATCTTCGACTGCAACAAAATGAAAACCGCGCGCGTAGAGTATCGGGCACGCAACAGTAGCGGAAACAAGACTCTGCCCAGACGGGGAATCTCCTTGAAGACCCAAGAAATTATATGGATTCGTTAAAGCTATCCTATAAAGACGCTTTAATGAAAAACTTGTAATTCTCGAGGGGCTAGAGCCTTGGAGAAAATACGGGAGGGACTCCAGAAGAAGCAGAAAATTGTGGAGATCATACCGGTACCGGAGAACTTGGGGACCAAATTAAGGAGTGTGGAAAGAAGCTGACTTTTCCACGGAGTCAACGTCCTCTCCCGACACCAGCCCACAGCGACTACCCGTTCCCCAGGGAAGACGTCGATGGAGCTGAAGCAGCTCAAAAGGAAGCTGGGGGTCTACAAGAAGCTGCAAAAACCCCGAACTCCTTCGGATGCATCCAACTCGGCAACTTCGTCAACGACACGAACAGTCGTTACGGAAACTCCGGGCCCAGGAGAAGAGCCTTTCTCCAAGCAGCCTCGGCCAGCTGCCAGCTCAGGAGTAGGAAGCAACGAATATTGAGATGTACCCTATGACCCAATCAATGAAACTATCTTTAAGGTACTCCGAGCAACGCCTACCCCTCGTGCTCGAGGTCATCTGCAAAGGACGACGCCTCCAAGCACTCGTGGACAGCGGAGCATCGCACACCGTATGCGACAAGGCAACTATCGACCGACTTCGAGAGGAGTGCAAGCCATCAGCGTTTTCTGCAACGATGGTGGACGGCAGCAAGTTACCAGTATACGGCGAAGCAGTGCTACACCTAGAAATCGGGCCATTGTGCTGGAAACTTGCACTCCCCATCACCAACATAAAAGGGCTTGACCTGATCTTCGGGCGAGACTTCCTAAAACGATTCAACCCCGAGATCAACTGGGTAAACCGCACCGCAAGCATCTACAACAAAGGAAGGAGAGTCCAGCTACCCAACTGGGACGATACAAGAGATATCCCAGTGGAGACACTCGCCAGATTCGAGAAGGACGTCAAGCGAACTGTTAGGATTAAGGACGGAGACTAGGTGAACTTAGGAGCTAGAATTACTCAAAATATAAATCCGAAATTCTGGACAGAAAAGTCGTCTTCACAAGAAACGGCGTCGACAAAAAAACTAGCCGTTGGAATGTCGTGAAAATTGGATATGATGTAGCTTGTAATCTTAGCTACGGTTCTCAATTTAAATCACGTCGATTGATGGAGCATTCCCGACGCTATGTCTTTCGACGCACTGGAGGGTAAGCTGTAGAGGGAGAACTTAACTCAATCTCAAAAGTTCAATCAAAGTTCAAGAATCTCACAAGGAATTTAGAGGAGCAAGAGAAAGGTTGGGATGGAAGAGAGGGATGACAGGGAATGTCATAGGAGAGTCCCCAACCAAGGAAACCCCACAAGCACAAAGATTCCCCCCCTATAGGAACCCCAACTTTGACATTTGTCCTTTCCCAACCAATCCATCCAAGTTGGCCACCCTTGCCAACCTAGCTTGGTTGTTCCCAACCAATTTGCAGCTGTTACAGTAGAGTGACAAATTCCCCCAACCCCAAAGATCCCAACTCCATATAGAGTCACCCCACAACTTCACTTTGTAACCGCCGCAATTGTAACGCAAGCTCATGAAATTTGAATCTTCATAGCTTTCGCGTTCTTGCTCCGATTGAAGCGATTCTTGTTGCGCCGGAAAGATCTTCTCAAGATCTATCATCACAAATACCTGCTCAGACAGAATAACACAAAACATATTCCCAAACTCCAGAACACACACCACACAAATTCTTTCACACACAGTTAAACCATACATGCGAATTGAAACAAGGGATGGGAGGCAGACAGAATGTGATAGCATATGATGACATCACACAACACGAACCAACACCGGATTCCTGGCGATAGCAACAGAGGTGAAAACCAACGGAGAGAAGATCTCGGAACCTCCAGGAAAAATCAAGGAATTGCTGAAGGAGTTCCAAGACATTCTCCATGACGACCTCCCGGACGAGCTACCGCCATACCGAACGCACCAACATGAGATCGTGGAGGAACCAGGTTCGAAGCCGACCTTCCGAGCACCATATCGGCTCAGCCCCACCGAGCTAGCCGACATGAAAAAGCAAATCGAGTATCTCCTCGCCAAAGGACTCATCCGACCATCCACTTCACCATACGGTGCCCCAGTACTCTTCACACCGAAACCGGACGGAAGCCTGCGCATGTGCATCGACTACCGAGCTCTCAACAAGCAGACCATCAAGAACAAGTACCCGATTCCACGAATCGATGATATGCTCGACCAGCTTCGGGAAGCCACGGTATTTTCAAAATTAGATCTGCGGTCCGGATACTGGCAGATAAGAATGGCAGACGATTCCGTTCACAAAACGGCCTTCCGAACTCGGTACGGATCGTACGAGAGTCTGGTGATGCCGTTCGGACTCACCAACGCACCTGCAACGTTCCAAGCAGAGATGAATCACATCCTATGCCCACTCTTGGACGAATGCGTGGTGGTGTACCTGGACGACATTCTCATCTACTCGCACGACATGCAACAATACATCAAACACTTACGACGCGTCTTCGAGATTCTTCGACGAGAATGCTTCTACGTCAAACTATCCAAGAGCGACTTCGCCCTCGAGAAAGTCCAATTTCTCGGACATATCGTAGGCGCTCAAGGAGTTCACGTCGACCCCAAGAAAATCGAAGCTGTGCGTACGTGGCAGACACCCGAGAATGTGAAGGAGTTACAGCAGTTCTTTGGCTTCGCTAACTACTACAACAGGTTCGTGCCGCAATACGCGAAAATCGCCGCGCCACTCACGAATCTGCTAAAAAAGAACACACCCTACAAATGCGAGCCGAAGCACCAGGAAGACGTGGAGCAGCTAAAGCAAGCACTCACGTCCGCACCCGTACTCATCTTGCCAGACCCCGAACGCGAATACGTCATCGAAGCTGACGCCAGCAACCAGGCAGTGGGAGCAGTCTTGATGCAAGACTAGGGGAATGGACTGCAACCAATCACCTACCTCAGCAAGAAACTACATGAGGCAGAACTCAACTACCCAATACACGACAAGGAGGCCCTGGCTATCATCATCGCCTTCAAAACGTGGAGATGCTATCTCGAAGGACGCAAGACGATAGTCTACACTGACCATTGCAGCCTAAAATATTTGAAGACGCAACCAAGCCTCTCCAGGCGACAGGTTCGGTGGATCGACTTCCTCGAGACGCACTTCCACTACAACATCGTGTACAAGCCTGGCCATAAAAACAAAGCCGATGTGCTTAGCCGACGTGCACACATTGCTGCGATCCAAGTTGAAGGGATGAATCCACTCCTCAAGGGACTCTTCACACACGGGTACACCATCGACCCAGAAATTCCCGTGGCAGAAAAGCGACATCTGCTACAGTGGAACAATGACATCGTGTACCGGGAAGGATCAACGAAGATCTGGGTACCTAATGACCCTCCATTGTGCCAGTTACTACTCGAAGAGTACCACAACGTCCTGTACGCGGAACACTTCGGTAGCAACAAGACGCTCACAGGTATCGCCAAACACTACTACTGGCCTCACATGGCAGATGACGTACAGAAATTCGTCACCTCGTGCACTACATGTCAGCGGATGAAGAGCAGCAAGCAGAAAAAGGCGGGTCTACTACAGCCTCTTCCTGTCCCAGAACAGCCATGGCAAGTGGTCAGCCTAGACTTCATCACCGGGCTACCAACTACCACAAGCGGTCATGACGCGATCCTCGTCGTCATTGACAAGTTCTCCAAAATGGGACATTTCATCCCGACACACACGACAGCACGCACCGAGGAGACGGCACAGCTCTTTGTTCGCTACATCATCTCACAACATGGCATTCCGACCACACTCATCTCCGACCGGGACCCTAAGTTCACAAGTAAATTTTGGAAAGAAATGATGTCTTTCCTCGGAACCAAACTCGCCATGTCATCCGCCTACCATCCGTAGACAGATGGACAGGCCGAGCGCCTCAACCAAATTGTGGAGCAACTCCTCTGCGCAGCCTGAAAGGACGAAATCTCCAAATGGGACTTGCATCTGCCCGTCCTGGAGTTTGCCTACAACAATGCCACTCACGCCGCTACTGGACAGACGCCGTTCTTCCTGTTTTCAGACGCCACCCACTCACACCTCAACAGCCAAACATACCAGCCATAGTCCAACCCGCTCATGATTTCATCACAACTATGCACAAACTTTGGGATCGGACCCACAAGCGCCTTCTCGACATTCAGCAACAACAGAAGCGCCAGGCCGATCGCCACCGCACAGACCACACCATCATTGTGGGAGATCGAGTCCTACTCGACACGCGCAATCTTGACATCAGCCATCTCCCATCCAAACTTCCACCTCGCTTCTTCGAGCCTTTTCTCGTTGAAGCACAGGTCACTCCTGTTACCTTCCGCTTACGCTTGCCAGCTACCTGGAAGATTCACAACGCCTTCCATGTCCAACTCTTGAAGCCCTACCGAGATCCCAACGCGATTTTCTCTGGACGCCAACCGCCGCCGCCGCCGCCCGTCCTCGTCCATGATGAACCCGAGTACGAGGTCGAGTTCGTGCTTGCTCACCGCTGTCGACGGAATGGCACCGTGGAGCTTCTCATCCGTTGGAAGGGTTATGATCCTTCAGAGGAGAGTTGGGTCTCTGAATCTGAGATGGACCATGCTCGTCATCCTCTTCGCGACTACCTTGTCAAGCAGGGTGTCACGTCTACCACCCAGCTTTGAGGGGGGGAAGTGTGAGAGTACGACCCCGTTCCATTCTCTTCTCCTTTCCATATTCCCATTCCATTTCATTCTTCCTTTTATCTTGATCCATTTGGGTTTTATCTCATTCCATTTGGATTCCTATTTCTCCTTTTCCATAAACCTTTGGTTTATCCTGTTATTATCATTATATCACCGACCAAGCTCGGGATGTACTGGGGCGCTATATCTAGCGTAATCCTGCCGTAATCCCTTAAAGCCAATCGCCTCGCGTGGCTATACGCAGGGTGATGCTATTTTCTAGAAGGGTCTATTCCCTTGGGATAAGATAAACCTGGTTACGTGATGTACTTTGGAAGTGTAAAAGAGCCTTGTACTGATCGATAGGGCAACCTTTCCTCGACACATTCGATCCTGTGACATCCTTCCTCTCCCTGACGTCCCTCCATTTGGCCTGCTTCAGCAGTTGTGGGCGCCTCCGCTCCCTCCCTCCCCACGTGGGCCTCGCCTAGAAGTACTGTAGCTGCGGGAATGTGTGGCACTGCAAAGTCTACCGGACATGCCATGACACTAAGGCATGTGGACGTTTATACGAGGTGGTTGAGGATGGAGGGTATGTGAGAGTACGACCCCGTTACACCACTTGGCCTTTTCCCTATTTCCTTTTCCTTCCATTTCTCTTTTTACCGCATCTCATTTGGTTTCCTATTCTTCCTTTCCCAATAACCTTTGGTTTATCCTGCTATTATAATTATATCACCGACCAGGCTTGGGATGTACTGGTGCGCTATATCTAGCGTAATCCTGCCGTAATCCCTTAAAGCCAATAGCCTCGCGTGGCTATACGCAGGGTGATTCTATCTTCTAGAAGGGTCTATTCCCTTAGGATAAGATAAACCTGGTTACCTGATGTACTCTGGAAGTATAAAAGCGCCTTGTACTGATCGATAGTGCAACCTTTCCTCGACACATTCGATCCTGTGACACTTGGTAATCAGAGCTTTTCTCACTCGACCGCGCTCAGCTAAGCAGCAGCAGCGGGGATCCTGCCTCGAAAAACCGACGGGGGCGACCAATTCGACGCCGATTCTGGTAAGCACCAGCTCCGCGATTTTCGAATTACCCCCTCCGTGCGTGTTTTGAACAGGATGGCAACCTTCGACAACGCCGAGGTTACCCAGCAGCTCTTCGCGCGCATCGCAGCCCTTCAGGAGGAAATGCGAGCGGATCGCGAAGCGTGGCGAAACCAGTTCGAGCGAGTAACTCGACTCGCCGGAGCGCAGCACGAGACGACAACGGCGACGACGCAGCAGTCGCAGCAGTTTCTCGAGGCTCCGAAACCGCGCCCACCTGAGCCGTTCGATCCGAGCGATCGAAACTCCGACGCCCGCAGATGGATCGCCGGGATGGAGATCTACTTCGCAGCCGTCGGATGGAGCTCGCCAGTCTGGGACGGTCAACGTGTACGACTCGCGGCGACACTGATGCGAGGGCCGGCACTCGAGTGGATTGGCGGTAACAGTACTTTCATCCACGGTGAAGCCACGTGGCAGCAGTTCCGCGCCGACCTGCTGAAACGCTTCGAACCGATAAATTCGAGTTTCCCTGCCCGGGAAAAAATTCATCGACACCGACAGTTCGGGAGTGTAGCGCAGTACACGCAGCAGATGGAGGAATTTTATAACCGCATTCCCGACCTGACTGAAGGGGAAAAAGTACAATCGTACCTCGCCGGGCTGAAGACCGAAGTCAAACGACAAGTGGCAGCGTCAAACTACGCGAGCTACAGTGACGTCGTTTCGGCAGCGGAGCGCTTCGACATGGTCAACGCCGGAGCACGACGGACGCACGTCGGCAGTACGCGACAGGGCGACCGCTCGGCTCACCCCACGTTCGCCGACCCGATGGAAGTCGACAGATTCGAGGGGCGGCCACGTCCGAAAAACACCAACTACAAGTGTGATTTTTGCGGGGTGCCGGGCCACCGAATCTTCGACTGCAACAAAATGAAGGCCGCACGTGCAGAGTATCGGGCACGCAACAGTGGCGGAAATCTTTCGGCCAATCAGAAGACAAAAAACGGGAGTCGCCAGTGATTGCGGATCTAGCTGGCGAAAAAGAAAAGATCCGAAAGCGGCCGCGGGATTCCGGGAAAATCAACTTCGACGAAGCTGATTCGACGCGAGAAGGAGGAAATGATGGGGGAAAATCTCCACCCCACGACCAGTCTTCGCCAGGGAAAATCGCCGAGGAAAAATACGACTCCGCGAAAAAAGACTCTGCCGAGACAGGGAAACTCCTTGAAGACCCAAGAAATTATAAGAATTCGTTAAAGTTATCTTATAAAGATGCTTTAATGAAAACTTATGATGTTCGAGGGGCTAGAGCCTTGGAGAAATTTCGGGAGGGACTCCAAAAGAAGCAGACAGCTGTGGAGATTATACCGGTACCGGACAACCTGGGGACCAAATTAAGGAGTGTGGAAAGAAGCCGACCTTTCCACGGAGTCAACGTCCTCTCCCGACACCGGCCCACAACGACTACCCGTTCCCCAGGGAAGACGTCGGTGGAGCTGAAGCAGCTCAAGAGGAAGCGGGGGGTCTACAAGAAGCTGCACCAACCCCGAACTCCTCCTCCGGATGCATCCAGTTCTTCGGCATCAGTGACGCGCACAGTCGTCAGGGAAACTCCGGGCCCTGGAGAAGAGCCGTTCTCCAAGCAGCCTCGGCCAGCTGCCAGCTCAGGAGTAGACAGCAACACAAAGGTGTGTACGGAATATTGGGATGTACCCTATGACCCAATCAATGAAACTATCTTTGGGTACCCCGAGCAACGACTGCCCCTCGTGCTCGAGGTCATCTGCAAAGGACGACGCCTCCAAGCACTCGTGGACAGCGGAGCGTCACACACCGTCTGCGACAAGGCAATGATCGACCGACTTCGGGAAGAGTACAAGCCTTCAGGATTCTCTGCAACGATGGTGGACGGCAGCAAGTTACCAGTATACGGCGAAGCAGTGCTACATCTACAAATTGGACCACTGCGCTGGAGACCTGCACTCCCCATCACCAATATCAAAGGGCTTGACTTGATCTTCGGGCGAGACTTCCTGAAAAAATTCAACCCCGAGATCAACTGGGTGAACCGCACCGCAAGCACCTACAACAATGGACGGAAAGTACAGCTACCCAACTGGGACAATACTGGAGATATCCCAGTGGAGACACTCGCACGATTCGAGAAAGATGTGAAGCGGACCGACACCGGGTTCCTGGCGATAGCAACAGAAGTGGAGAATGACGGAGAGAAAGCCTCGGAAACTCCAGAAAAAATCAAGGAATTACTGAAGGAGTTCCAAGACATTCTCCCTGACGATCTTCCGAACGAGCTACCGCCATACCGAACGCATCAACACGAGATCGTGGAGGAACCGGGTTCGAAGCCGACCTTCCGAGCACCATATCGGCTCAGCCCTACGGAGCTGACTGACATGAAAAAACAGATCGAGTATCTCCTAGCCAAAGGACTCATCCGGCCATCCACTTCGCCGTACGGTGCCCCAGTACTCTTCACACCAAAACCGGACGGAAGCCTGCGCATGTGCATCGACTACCGAGCCCTTAACAAGCAGACCATCAAGAATAAATATCCGATACCGCGAATCGATGACCTGCTTGACCAGCTTCGGGGAGCTACGGTATTTTCCAAACTGGATCTGCGGTCCGGATATTGGCAGATACGGATGGCGGACAACTCTATCCACAAAACTGCTTTTCGAACTCGGTACGGATCGTACGAGTATTTGGTCATGCCATTCGGACTCACCAACGCACCAGCAACGTTCCAAGCCGAAATGAACCACATTCTACGACCACTTCTGGACAAATGCGTGGTGGTGTACCTGGACGACATACTCATCTACTCGCGCGACATGAAGCAGCACGTCGAACACCTGCGACGTGTCTTCGAAATTCTTCGACGGGAACGATTCTACGTCAAACTGTCCAAGAGCGAATTCGCCCTTGAAAAGGTCCAATTTCTAGGACATATGGTGAGCGCTCAAGGAGTTCACGTCGACCCCAAGAAAATCGAAGCCGTACGTACGTGGAAGACACCCGAGAACGTGAAGGAGTTGCAGCAGTTCCTAGGCTTCGCTAATTACTACAACAGGTTCGTGCCACAGTATGCGAAAATCGCAGCACCACTCACGAATCTGCTGAAGAAGAACACGCCCTACAAATGGGAGCCAAAGCACCAGGAAGCCGTGGAGCAGCTGAAGCAAGCACTTACGTCCGCACCGGTACTCATTTTGCCAGATCCCGAACGCGACTATGTCATCGAAGCTGACGCCAGTGACCAAGCAGTGGGAGCAGTCTTGATGCAAGATCAAGGGAATGGACTGCAACCAATCGCCTACCTCAGCAAGAAACTGCACGGGGCAGAACTCAACTACCCGATACACGACAATGAGGCTCTTGCTATCATCATCGCCTTCAAAGCGTGGAGATGCTATCTCGAAGGACGAAGAACAACCGTCTACACCGACCACTGCAGCCTGATATACTTGAAGACACAACCCAACCTTTCCAGGCGGCAGGTCCGGTGGATCGACTTCCTCGAGACACACTTCCACTACGACATCGTGTACAAGCCCGGCCACAAGAACAAAGCAGACGCTCTCAGCCGGCCTGCACACGTTGCCGCCATTCAGGTCGAAGGGATGAATCCACTACTCAAGGGACTCTTCACACACGGGTACGCCACCGACCCCGAAATTCCCTTGGCAGAAAAGCGACATCTGCTACAGTGGGACAGTGACATCGCGTACCGGAAAGGATCAACAAAAATCTGGGTACCCTATTACCCTCCTTTGCGCCAGTTACTACTCGAAGAATACCACGACGTCCTCTACGCCGGACACTTCGGTAGCAACAAGACGCTGACGGGTATCGCAAAGCACTACTACTGGCCCCACTTAGCAGAAGATGTCCAGAAATTCGTCACCTCGTGTGATACATGTCAGCGGATGAAGAGCAGCAAGCAGAAAAAGGCGGGACTACTGCAGCCTCTTCCTGTCCCAGAACAACCATGGCAAGTGGTTAGCCTGGACTTCATCACCGGGTTACCACCTACCTCTAGCGGTCATGACGCCATCCTTGTCGTCATTGACAAGTTCTCCAAAATGGGACACTTCATCCCGACACACACGACGGCACGCACCGAGGAGACAGCACAGCTCTTCGTTCGTCACATCATCTCACAGCATGGCATCCCAACTACACTCATTTCCGACCGAGACCCCAAGTTCACCAGCAAGTTCTGGAAGGAACTTATGTCTCTTCTCGGGACCAAACTCGCCATGTCATCCGCATACCATCCGCAGACAGACGGACAGACCGAGCTCCTCAACCAAATTGTTGAGCAACTCCTCCGAGCAGCCTGCAAGGACGACATCTCCAAATGGGACTTGCACCTGCCCGTACTAGAGTTTGCTTACAACAATGCCACACATGCCGCTACTGGACAGACGCCGTTCTTCCTCTGCTACGGACGCCACCCACTCACACCACAAAAACCGACAGCATCAGCTACAGTCCAACCAGCACATGATTTCATTACAACCATGCATCAACTTTGGGATCGGACCCATAAGCGCCTCCTTGACATTCAACAGCAACAGAAGCGCCAGGCCGATCGCCATCGCAACGACCACACCATCACGGTGGGAGACCAGGTGCTTCTTGACACCCGCAACCTGGACATCAGCCATCTCCCATCTAAACTTCGACCTCGCTTCTGCGGGCCTTTTCTCGTTGAAGCACAGGTCACTCCTGTTACCTTCCGCTTACGCCTGCCAGCTACCTGGAAGATTCACAACGCCTTCCACGTCCAACTTCTGAAGCCCTATCGGGACCCGAACACAATTTTCGTCGGACGCCAACCGCCGCCGCCAGCGCCCGTCCTCGTCCAGAATGAACCCGAGTACGAGGTCGAGTCCGTGCTCGCACACCGCCGTCGTCGGAATGGCACCGTGGAGCTTCTCATCCGTTGGAAGGGTTATGATCCTTCTGAGGACAGCTGGGTACCTGAGTCCGACATGGGTAACGCCCGTCGTCCTCTGCATGACTACCTTGTCAAGCAGGGTGTTACTTCGACCACCCAGCTTTGAGGGGGGGAAGTGTGAGAGTACGACCCCGTTACACCACTTGGCCTTTTCCCTATTTCCTTTTCCTTCCATTTCTCTTTTTACCGCATCTCATTTGGTTTCCTATTCTTCCTTTCCCATTAACCTTTGGTTTATCCTGCTATTATAATTATATCACCGACCAGGCTTGGGATGTACTGGTGTGCTATATCTAGCGTAATCCTGCCGTAATCCCTTAAAGCCAATAGCCTCGCGTGGCTATACGCAGGGTGATTCTATCTTCTAGAAGGGTCTATTCCCTTAGGATAAGATAAACCTGGTTACCTGATGTACTCTGGAAGTATAAAAGCGCCTTGTACTGATCGATAGTGCAACCTTTCCTCGACACATTCGATCCTGTGACAGGGTAGGTGGATATGTGTGGCACAAGAGTCCATGTGCTAAGAGGAAGGAGTGACAAAGAGGAATATGCTGGGTCTAGTGGGGGGAGGTAGACGCGGGACGAGGCAGAGTAGGGAGGAGGGAGGTAGAGTAGGGAGGAGGGAGGCAGAGCAGGGAGGAGGGAGGCAGCAGAGCAAAACGACAAGCCAGTCGAGGTCAAGACCAATTGGGGAGCGACTCGCCATATCGTCCCTGACACTGCCGCTCGACGTCGCGTCGACAAAATCCCGTGGGTGGAAACTGCAGAAGAGGCCGACTTTACTCCTAGCCACCAATGACTCCGATTTCGTTCCTCGACACCAAGTCATGCCCGCGTTCTTCATCAAGTCTAGCCTGTACCTGGGCTCAAAGGCACATAGGGCATCAGCAGGGAGTTGGCATTTGTGACTTGGCCATCCATCAGTCGAGGCTTTAAATAACTCAATCTAAGCAAGGATCTTTGACAAATATGCGCTACTCTAGCCGAACGGGCAAGAGCTTCGACCAACGTCTCGGCAGAATGGTTGCACCGTGTGCCCTATCGCAGGTCTCCCTCGTAGCCCGTTTCCTTCCAACTTCTCCAACGCGCAGCAATACGAGAAGCTGGACGTCGCCATCAATGACATCCTCTTCATGAACGAAGAGGCAAGCAACATCAGTGATGACAACTATCGCTATAAAATAACCTTCATCAATGGGTCTACTCGATACGTCTGGCACAAGTACCTCGCTGATATGAGCGGGGTGTTCGATGCGTTTCGGCTATGGGTACGGATGGCGGAGCGGCAGAGAAGGCTAAAGATGAACGGGCTTTAGATAGACAATGCTTGGGAGTATGAGAGCGAAGCCTTCAAATAATATCTGGGGCAAAAAGGAGAACTGAAGTGCAAAATAATGCCTTACACTCACCAGTAGATTGGAACGGTGGAGCGGATGAACAGGATGCTGCAGACGAAGTTGAGAGTCCTCCTCGCCCAAGCTCGACTGCCAACCGACTTTTGGTCGTATGCGATGGCACAAGTTGTTGTCATGCAGAATTAGCTATCATCCACTGCCCTCCCTTAGTCCTTTTCACTGCATCTAATGTGGACAGGAAAATTTGCCACAACTCTACTCCTTCAAATATAGGCCTGCCTAGTACAGTACAGACCTCCAAGTCCAGTAGCAGGAAGATTTGCAGAAAGGGCAAAATGGATATTTATTTTATCATTCCGAAAGATGCTTCCACCTGGATAATCATGGACTACGGCACTCAAAAGATTCTATATGCCCGAGACTGCATCTTCTACGAAAAAATGTTCCTCGACGACTTCGAACGTGACTGGGAAGCCGATGTCAGTGCACCAAGACGCATACTGTGGGGAGTGGAGCTTCACCACCCCATATGAAGAAGTGGATTCTGCTGAGGAATATAATCCTCCTACCATTGCACTACCTGCAATGCCACAACCCACTAGTCTAGTTGCAACTGCTGTCCCCTCCAAGCCTCGTCACATGGAGCCTGGTCCCTTCGAACCTCGGCATCAACAGCTGCCTCTATTTGGACCATACATTCCACATGACTACACTGACCCATCTGCCACGCCTCTCTTCATCCCACTCTCCAATCCACATCAGCCGAATGCAAATGACGAATCGGCCTATGGCTACGAAGATGGCCTCCATTGCGTGTGTGTGGATGCACCGTTCGATGAAGGCAAATGACACTTGCTAGGGCGATAGACTAGATCCTAACGTAGTCTAAGGATGTAAGCTAGCGTGGGAGAGGAGCGAGGAGGACCTGGGGCGGAAGCGCGGCAGCTAGGAGCTAACCTAGTGTGATACCATATCGCGAGAAAAGTTGACTAGGGAGGACAAGTACTGAAGCTATATTTAGTGTTGTACCCTAAACAATTTGAACCCTAGCAAGGCTACAGTTCATATAAATATGAACTCTAACAAAAATGTCAACAGCCATATATTTATATCTAGTTAAGTTAGGTATGTTTGTATAACATCGCTAGGTCAGCTCTTAGAGGGGACAACTCACTGTACTTGTATCTCCCCTTCCCTCTTCCTAGTTCAACTTTTCTCGCTATCTCAACATGGCATCTAGCGCTAGGTTAGGTCCCACCTACTCACATTTCCACCCCTACCTACACTGAGGGAAAAAACCGTCCGGATGTTTGGCACTAAGTTGGGTTTTTAGGCTTTGAGACTACTGTATGGTAAACCTGCAAGATGCACGGTGGTACATGTTGGGAGAGGCACAAAGTGGATGCGTTCACTGCACTGAGAACTAGATTAGTACATTGGATCTAACTCATACTCCAAAAGATATACAACGAGTACATCCGGACAGTTTTTTCCCAGGACAAAGAGCAAACTTCCGAACAACGTTTCTAGTACCTAGTCCACCTACTCTTGGCGTTGATCACCATCCACACCCTCCTAGGCATGTTATCTATGTGGTTAGTGCAGACCTTTGCATGAAGCTTCTCGCACTCTTCCTTGACCCACCATTTTGCATAAGGGGGTGAGCACAAGGAAAATTGCGAAGTATTTGAGCGTATGCATAAGTATTGTGCACGAATTCAGATTGAATGTAATCTCTGAGACTAGCCAAGCCGAGGGGTGTCCAAAGATGCCATTAGTTAAATGGTCCCTGCTTATCATGGGTCGTCTTCGTCGTATCGTTCTAGGGTAAAATCACGAATAGAGTGGCAAAATCTAGCATTCCCGCCACCAATCTTAGGGTAACAGAGCACGGTCGACTGAACATCCTTTCACTGTGTGAACCATGTTAAAATACGCGGGTCTAGTGACGGGGCAGCAGTCGAAGAAACCTCGACTGTTTGGGAAGAATATCTGGATTGAGGTCTGGTGAGAAAAAGGGTCACTCCAGCGCAACATACTTATGCTCTCCAAGGCATTCCATGTCATTTTCCCTGCCTAGGCTTGGAATGGCTCGGAGAGCATGGATATGTAGCTCTGGAGTGCCCCTCTTCCTCACCAGACCTCAACCCTGATATTCTTCCCAAACAGTCGAGACTTCTTCAACTGATGCACTGTCACTAGACTCGCGGATTTTAACATGATTCTAACAATGAAAGGATGCTCAATCGACCGTGCTCTGTTACCCTAAGTTTCGTGGCGGGTATGCTAGATTTTGCCACTCTATACGTGATTTCACCCTACTCTGATTCGACGAAAACAACCCATGATAAGCCAAGACCATTCAACTAATGGCATCTTTGGACACCCTTCGGCTTGGCTAGTCTCAGAGATTACATTCAATCTGAATTCGTGCACAATACTTATGCATACGCTCAAATACTTCGCAATTTTCCTTGTGCTCACCCCCTTATGCAAAATGGTGGGTCAAGGAAGAGTGCGAGAAGCTTCATGCAAAGGTCTGCACTAACCACATAGATAACATGCCTAGGAGGGTGTGGATGGTGATCAACGCCAAGAGTAGGTGGACTAGGTACTAGAAACGTTGTTAGGAAGTTTGCTCTTTGTCCTGGGAAAAAACTGTCCGGATGTACTCGTTGTATATCTTTTGGAGTATGAGTTAGATCCAATGTACTAATCTAGTTCTCAGTGCAGTGAACGCATCCACTTTGTGCCTCTCCCAACGTGTACCACCGTGCATCTTGCAGGTTTACCATACAGTAGTCTCAAAGCCTAAAAACCCAACTTAGTGCCAAACATCCGGACGGTTTTTTCCCTCAGTGTACTTAGCTCCTAGCTGCCCCTAGCTGCTCCTAGCCGCCCCTAGCCACTTTTCCCCCCCATTGCTAGGTTGCGCACTCATCGCCAGCTCGCGAACCAGCCGCACCAGCCAGCGCCAGCCCACGCCAGCCAGCGCCAGCCCGAGCCTGCCCGCCTGCGTTTAGCCCGCCGCTCCGTGCCTGCTCGCCGCTCGCGCGCCTCGCCAGCCAGCGACTGCCAGCTCGCAGCTGCTAGCCAGCTCGCCAGAGGCTCGCCAGCCCTGCCACAGCCAGCTCGCCGCCTGGTCGCCAGCTAGCAGCCACGTCGCCGCTGCCGCCAGCCAGCTCGCCGCTGCCAACCAGGAGCCGCCTCCTCATTGCTGCTACTGCAGCCGCCCCTGCCGCCGCTACCTTTGCAGCCGCCACTGCTGCCGCTGCTGCCACTTCCGCCACTGCCTTTGCAGGCGCTGCTACCACCGCTGCCGCTGCTGCCGCCGCTGCTATGACCATTGCCACTACAGCCGCAGCTTCCGCCACTGCCGCCACTACCGCCAGCACCAGCGCCCGCCATCAGCGCCAGCCACCAGCACCTAGACGCTAGCCGCCAGCACTGGCTGCCAGACGCCAACTGCCAGCAGCTGACTGCCGGCTCTAGCTGCCACTGGCACCCTGTAGTCGACCGCCGGCCGTTAGCTGCCAGCTGCCACTAGCCGCGGCAGCAGCCGACCGCTGACCGCCAGTTGCCATTCGGTCGTCAGTCTCCCGCTCCTAGCCTACTGGGAGTACGTCAGCCTCCACCATCCTTGTTCTGCGCCTGGATGCTGAGGTTCGGGCGGCGGTTGACGAGCAATCCCACTTTGTGGGTGCTGCACCGGCTCATGCCCTTTGGACTGCCATTCTTGCTAGGTACTCCACCCTGTCGTCTGCACTCTTGGTCGCCTC